TATATGGACATGAGTGTGCAGAAGACTGAAGATTGAAAAAGCTTGTCTCTCTTTGAGATGATGATGTTCACTCAGGTTCACAGTTGGACTGAAATGAGCTTGAATTTAGTTTCAGTAACTGAAATAAGCTTGGATACTATGTATTCCAAATAGCCTTTATAGCGAAACTGTCAATGAACTGGAATTTAAATGGTGTCTTCAATATGATACAATTTAAACATCTCTTAGCCTAAACCGTCAAGAGAAGTGGAGTATCAACAACCAACTCTCAAAAATGATCAGAAGTAAAAGCTGCCAGCCCTTGAAATAAAACAGAAGCACATTCTTACCCTACCAAGAAATCTGATTGTAACAGTGTCTTACAGCTCTTGGAAAACTCTAGTATTTTCATGAAGTCCAGGGCTGTCTTTGTGTGGTAGGTGACTTTTGGCTATCTGTAACATCAAAACTGTTGGACCTTTGGGAAGGAAAAGCTGTGGTTTTGTTAAGAAATCCAAATTGTCATTTCTCAACCTGAGACCCCCCCCCTTTTTTTTGCTCTGTTTTACTGATGACTTTCAAAAATATTCTTAAAGGGGTTTTTTTAGTTCAGTTAAACTAGTTTATTTTTCCAAATATACATAGCATGGAGACATAACATGTAATCAGCTATTAAGCCGAGACTTGGCCTGCAATAACCACTGTTAGTGGCTGAGTACAGAGGACAACGCAGACCTACTGCAGCGGAAGCTGGGCAAGGGTGCTAGCGTGCTGCTCTTTTCCTTCAAGACATCTTACTCTGTGAAACAGTGCTCGAGGTATTTACAGGTTGCTAAACCAATTTGGAAAAACAACACTGAGAATGCCACAGTCTCATCTGTGATTCTGTTTACGAACTGTGTGTTAAAATGGAGTTGTATGCACCTTGCTTCCATTCTGTAAACTACTTCCACTAGCAATTCTCATACACTTGTGTTAAACTGTTTGAAAAAATTACATGTCTTCTGGGATGTGGCTGCCTGTACTAAACCCAGTTGGTTTATGGACCATTTCAAAACAAAAGTGTTACTTCTCAGGGTCACCAAAACCTAAGCTGGATGAGAGGAAGTGTGCTGTGACCTCGTCAGTCCTCGTAAGTCTTTGTTACTGCTTAAAACAGAGGCTCGCCTCCTCATCCTTTCATCTGTCAGTCAGTGAGAGGATAGGCGAATATGACAGTTAAAATTCAGTGTGCTTAAAAAAAACTTAAAGTAGTGTCAAGTACCTTCCATAAACATGACAAAAGATGTATCTTTAATCTACTGAAAGTCCATAACATGAAAAGTAAAATCACAGAAGAGGAAATGCAGGTGGCTACTAAGTATATGAAAAAAGTTGTGTCTTAACAGTGTATTAGTCTGTGTCCAATCAGAAGACAGAAGCCACACAATAATTTAAACAGGGGGTAGTTTAGTATAAAGAATTATTAAGTTATGATAGGGAAGTAAGCAAAAGATGGAAGGAGAGCCCCAAGGCCCGCCTAACACTGAGGAAGAGTGCCCCCAAAAGGAAAAGCTTAGACAGGATTCAGAATTCACTGGAGAAGGTGATTGGCTGACTGTACACACCAGAGCAGGGCCACAACCTCGGGGCGGGGAGGAACAGCCTCTGCGAGGCAGGCGGGTCGGTCACCTGGGGCACAGGGGCAGGTGAGCAGAGAGCCTTGGGATTGCACTGCTGGTGCAAGGCTCAGATCACATAGGGTCTGTGTCTGAAGGTCCCAAGCAAATGGTTTGGAGGAACGGGAAAGCCAAGGCTCCAAGGTAGGTGCAGGGAAAGAGGGTTGCTGGTAGGACTGAGCTGGAGGAGCCTCTTTTGGAGGAACACACTACAGTTCTGTGTATGGGTTGGTTCTGCAGCGTCTTTCAGGCTGCATGGAACAAGGGTTGGGCAAGTGGCTCACTAGATGGCGGCCCCACAGGACCCTCTGGGAGAGCAATGATTAGAACTAGTCACGGGCCTGCATTGAGACTCCAGGCTATGCCACCACAAACCCAATAAAAAATTGGAAAAGATGTTGGAGGAATAAATACTAGAGAGAGCTGCACCCTACCGTCAACTAGCACTGCAGAAACCACTCTGTCTGGGCAGAGCCATGGAGAGAAAAAAGTGAGCTTCCTGAGAGCCTGGCCAGCCAGCCCATAGCAATCAGGAAAGACCAAAGTCCTTCTGTTGAAGTACCGTGTTTCTCCAGCGCCCTCTGCTGACAAGTCATGGCCTGCAAGCTGCAAAGAAAATATATTTAAAGGGTACACCTCCGCTTCACAAAGCTGACACAAAGAATGAATTTGGAGCAGAAATGCAATAAATTAGCAGGCATGCCAACAAAACACAAAGTAAAGAAAAGTGAAATATGCTTTTTGGTCCATTAAATTAGTGAAGATTAAGAAATGATAATATTACATACTCAACAAATTACAAAATGGGCTCTCAAATTCCTGATAGAAATACAAATGTATAGAATTTTTTAAAAAACAATTTAGCAGTAAGTTTATATTATAATTCTACTTTTAGAATCTTATAATGAAGTAATCAGACATACAAAGACATTATGCAAATATACTTACTATGTTCCTATTTATTGTTAAAGAAAGTAAATAGCCTAAATGTCAAAAATAGAAAAAATAAGACAAAAGACATATTTACCTATGGAATGTTATGCAGGTACTAGAATTGTTTTCAAATAAATTTTAATTAGGGCAGTAAATTCTCCTTATTATCTAAATAATACTATACATAAAAATATTCCAAACTATTTACTATCCATAAAATATCTCCTTATATGTGTGTGAACACTAATATTTGTACATATAACTCACAAACCAAAAACAACATGTTAAATGTGGTTATTTTGGGGTTATAGGATTATGGATTATTCACTCTTACATTTTTCTATGCCTTTAAATAGTCTATAATGAACATGTGTTACTTTTAAATCAGGACATGGAAAAGCTATGATTAAAAAGTTACCAATAAAAAGTAGCAAGAACATGCAAACAGTTCTGCTATATGCAAAAAAGTTCAAATACATTATTTAAACAAAACATTAATGTCACTTCTGTGGTAGTTTTAAAATACATACATGATGTCTTTGATATTCCTCCTTTTGGGAGGAATAACCTAATCTTCCTCATCTTGGAAGGGGATTGGACATAGTGACTCCATTCTAATGAATGGAGGAAGGTGGAAGCGACAGCATCTAACTTTGGAGACTAGGTCAGGAGGTCACTGTGGCATCCTCCTCCCTCAGTCTCACGGGTCACTGGCTCTGGGGGAGCCAACTGCCATGTTCAGAGCAGTCCTGGGGAAGGGCCTACATGATGGGAACAGAGACCTTCTACCAACAGGGAACCGAGGCCTTCCCTCCACGGCCCTATGAGTGGGCCACGTGACAGCCCTCGTCAAGACTTCAGGTGATGACATCTTTGTCTAGTAGCTATAACATCATGAGACACCCTGATCCAGAAAACCCAGCTAAACCCCTCCTAATTTCCTGCTCCTCAGAGACTGTGTGAGATAAGAAATGTGTATTATAGTACACTGCTAAATTTTAGAATAATTTGCTGCTTCAAGATACAAAATTAATACAATTTCTGAGACAAAAAAAAAATCTCTTCACTCAGAGTCATCTTTACAAAATAGAAGAATATAAATTTTTGTCACCAAGCCATTTACCTTTGTTTTATTAATAGTCAAAATATCTCACCACCAGTCATACGATAGTTCAAATTCAATTCCAGATAATATGATACTTATTAATGGTACAGGGCCTGTCACATTCATCTTTTATACTTTACTGTACTAACTGTTGCTCCTTGTGTGTAGGGTGTTCTCCATAAAAATCAACTGAATAAAGGGCTGAATGAATTAGTGAATGAGTGAATAAATTATCTGAAATACTTTTTTTGTAAAATTTCCTGCATGTATGCCTCCTTTTTCACAAATATGATTCAGCTGCTGAAGAAATACGCATAGATTTTTTTCTACATGATTTTTCCTAATATAGTGGTATAGTTCATTATCTCTTAGTTGTATGACATATTCAGATAGGCAGTGTTACTGTGGTACTTTGTGTGGGGCTGTTCAGATTGGTTCAGGAACTGAAGGAGAAAGAAGTCCATTTGCAAGGCAGTTGATGAGGTACAAAAGACTTTCAGGTGTATGATTATGTTGGCATATCTACATGTGAAAGGAAAGAGGGGATAGGGAGCTATGACAGAGAGCAACAGCCTTCAATGGCACCCATTCGTCTTCTAAATTAATAATAAGAGCAAACAACTATTAATTAGGTCAGCCATTTGAAATTGTCAACATTTGACCTACAAAAGCAACAATTTCATAATTGTTCAAACTAATAGCACTTACAATTTGCCAAGTACTATTTTAACTCCTTTACATGTGTCAACTCATTTAATGTTCATTATAGTCCCTTGAGGAAATTACTCCTCAACTTAATTTTACAGATGAGGAAAGTAATCCCTAAAGAGGTTAGGAGATTTGCTAAACTCTAGAAGAGGTACTAGGTAGGAACTAAATCTATGGCTCCAGAATCCACACTTTTAAACCACCATAGTCTATGGTTTTACTCTAAATCACACTCCTTCAATCTAATATTTTGTATGTGTTCTCATTTATAAAGTGGGAATAATAGTATCTACCTCATGGGATAGTTATAGGAGTTATAGGAATAAAACATGTAATAACATGATCAAAATACATGGTTGGCACTTTTCACAGAGGTGTGTGGTAAATATTAGTTGTTATAATTAAACTACCATATGCACCCACTCATGATTGTACCCCTATCTTATGCCAACAAATACTTCATTTTTATCTTAAAACTAGCCAAATTGAGACTTCTAGTCAAGATGAAGGCATAGGTGAACATGCTTCACTTCTTCATACAACTACAGAAAACATTACAACTAGACTACAAAACAAATATCACCCAGAACCATCAGAAAATCAAGCTGTGTGGAATGCCAGCAACCAGGGATTTACAGTAGCCATGTTCATCTACATGGATAGGAGGGGCAAACCACAGGGTAGCGTGGAGAGGCAGTAGAATGGGAAGTCCTACATTCATGTGTGGTGGATAAAAATCAGGAGGGATACCTCGAGAGTGAGTGATCCTAGCCCCAAACCAGACTGTCCAGTCCCGGGTTCCACCACCAGGAATATAAGTCCCCATAATTTCTGGATGTAAAAACTGGGGGGGGGGGGGCAGGGGGTAAGGCAGCAGAAGAAACTGCAGGAGTCTCAAGAGACTCCTTTTAAGGAGCCTGAAAAGGTCTTCGGGGCTTACACAGACTCACTCTCTCTCGGATTCAGCACCAGGGCAACAGTTGGAAGGGCACAAGTGGCATGCAGGAGAAAGTGAAGTAAACTGGCAATAGGGCAAGTGCCAGGAGATAGCTTCCTCCCAGGCAAATCTCCAGAGCACAGGCAGCCTAGGCAGCAGCATTGTCCCCTCTCTCAACCCTCCCCCACATAGAGTCACGAAGCTGTGAAACAGGCTGCCTCACCCTGGTGATTATCTAAGGCTCCACCCCATACAATGTGCAGGGGCCTTTTCTACAATAGGCCATGCTACTAAAACAGGGAGTCAAAGCATCTCTATCTAATACAAAGAAACAAACACAGAGAGGCTGCCAAATTGAGGAGACAAAGAAATGTGGCACAGATAAAAGAAGAGAACAAAAGAAAAAGAATTAAATGAAACAGAGAAAACCTACCTATCAAATGCAGAGTTCAAAACACTAGTTATTAGGATGTTCAAAAAACTCACCAAGTACACAACAGCATATAAAAAACTCAGGCAAAAATGAAAGTTATGTTAAGTGAAATAAAGAAAAATCTACAAGGAACAACAGTGGAGGGGATGAAGCCAACAATCAAATCAACAATTTGGAACATAAGGAAGAAAAAAAGCATTCAATCAAAACAGCAAGAAGAAAAAAGAATTTAAAAAAAATGAGGCTACGCTAAGGAACCTCTGGGACATCTCCAAATGTACCAACACCTGAATCATAGGGATGCGAGAAAGAGAAGAGGAAGAGCAAGAAATCAAAAACTTATTTTAAAAAATAATGGAAGAAAACTACCTTAATTTGGTGAAGAAAATATATATACAAGTCCAGGAAGCACAGAGAGTCCCAAACATTTGGACCAAAAGATGAACACACCAAGACACATCATAATTAAAATGCCAAACCTTAGATATAAAGAAAGAATATTAAAAGCAGCAAGAGAAAAGCAGAGAATCACCTACAAAGGAGTCCCCATAAGACTGTCAGCTGATTTCTCAAAAGAAACCTTGCAGGCTAGAAGGGAATGGCAAGTTTTCAAAGTGATGAAAAGCAAGGATTACGCCAGATTACTCTATCCAGAAAAGCTATCATTTGGAATGAAAGAGAAGATGAAGTGCTTCCCAGACAAGGTAAAGCTAAAGGAGTTCATCAACACCAAGCCATATTTACATGAATGTAAAAAACTATATAAGAAAAATAAGATAACAACTATGAACATTAAAATGGCAACAAATTTGTAACTATTAAGAATTGAATTTAAAAAACAAATTAAGCAAACAAGCCAGGATAGGACAGAATCATAGGTATGGAGATCATTTGGAGGATTATCAGCTGCGAGGGGGAAGAGGGAGAATGGAAGAAATGGTGCAGGATTAAGAAGCACAAATTGGCAGGTACGAAATAAACTGGGGATTGTTAAGAACAGTATAGGGAATGGAGAAGCCAAAGAACTTACATGCATGACCCATGGACATGAACTAAGCGGGGGGATTGTTGGAGGGAATGGGGGTACTGGGCAGAGGGGGTAAAGAGGAAAATTGGGACTGTAACATATATTAAAAAACATATATTAAAAAAACTAACTTATTACTGCTTGAAATACCCCAACTCTACCACATCTCTCTCTTTTGAAACTATGCCTGCCCATTTTTTGCCCTCAGTGACAATGTGTGATCAAAAACTCCTGTGCATCATGTTATCAGTCAGTGCTGCTCTTGTGACACCAGAAATTAGAAACTTGCCTTTTATTATAATTCCTTATGTGTTTATATCATTATGAATTCATTAGTGATCTGGTCTTATCATATTCATGTTATTCTCTGTATTAGTTAGCCAACATATTGAACATAATAGTTACTTATAAATGTTCATTAGATTTAAGTTGCTAGTGTATATAAACATGTTGAAATCACTAGAGTGAGCAAAAATATTTAAAATCAAGTAAAGGACACTATAATGAGAATTACATTTTTCTCTAATAAAAATAATCCACTTATTTAGTAAACACTAAAATATTACTGTTTGTTTTTTAGTACACAGAAATATCTGGAAAAGTAAAAAGTCTGTGATAACTTCTTTATGTCATTTTATGCCTCCCTTTCCAGGGAAAAGGCTTTTAAATTACCACTGAAAGCTCAATTTAGTTTAAATATATTAGGACCCTTTGTGTCTAATGTCAGAATCATGTATATAGGGTAAACGTGAAAGGCAAAATTATTATGAAGTTAACTTTTTTACAAAGCACATTTTATTCAGTTCTTCAATTGTCATTTTTGAAGTGGTGTAGACAGAAACTCCAGTTGCTTGGGGTCCTTTCTACTCTAAACATCCAGCAGCCAGTTTCCAGTGGATGTGGAAGCCCATTACACCAATCTGAGGCTTTTCAAAGGCCCCTTAATTTCATACTTCTGCCGCTCTAAACAGAGCTTTCTAAACAGAAAGCTTATGGGGAGAAGGAAGAATAAAGTAGATTGTAGAGGGGTTACCATAAGTAGATTTCTCTTCTTAGTGTGAAAGGGGAGATTTAGCATTGAGTGGCTACTGTTCTTGTATAACATTGAGAGTTGCTGAAAAATAACTTTGTTGATTCTTGTGTTATTTTGAATATTAGACATGGGTTTCACTATACATGAAAAAACAAAGTGTAGCCTCAGCAACATTTTCTGGAATCATTTAGCCTCCTAAGAGATACTGGCACTTTTCCATCAGTTTACACTCATAAAGAAAAAGGCAAGTAATCACATCTGTGAGAGAGGGAAAAACATATAAACAAACAAAAAGTTTTAAACAGCTCTGATCTCCAAGTAGAAAATCTTTAAGACTTCCTTATTATAAGCCTGAGTTGGACTCTGAGGTGCCTGCTTCTCAATGCCTTAGAATTTCTCACAGGCCGATTCCCTTGGCTTAATGAGTTAATTAACTGCAATGCCTCTCCCACTTTTCGAACCCCAGACTTGGAATACATAAAAATTTTCTGCCTCCTCACAAAAATACGAGATGCTTTTGGGGCAAAAATGGACAACCAACATCAGCTACCCTCAAACAGTACCACACCTAAGTCATCTACAGAGAATGGACTCCATTTAGGTTCATTTTTAAAAATTCTGCTGATTTTATGCATCTTCATTTCTTTGGTAAACTATGACTTTTAAAATAAATCTCCATGGGAAATTTTCCCATAAGCAATCTCAAGACACTCATATTTAATCTTAGTCATTTTCTCTGAACCTAACAATAATGGGGCAACACATTTTTCTCCCATCAATCCTTCCTGACCTTATTTATTCCCTACTTTCTTGGTAAATTTCTAATTTGTTATGATAAACAATGCTGGGGGGAAGAGAGTTTGGGGCAAAGATAAAGTAGAAGGAAGACATTGGAGAAAATTATGATGATATTGAAGAATGGCCTGAATGAGAAAAGAAGTGAGGATAACTCCACATTTTGAGGTAAGGCCCAAGCAAGATTTTGAAACACAAAACACAGACTCATCTGAGGGAGTGTAGATAACAGAGAAAAGAGGAAGCATCTTTCCTACACTGAGACCAAGTCAGCCACTCTTTGATTCCCCATAACCCTGGACATGCTGGGCAGCTGCTAACAGTCACCCACCCTAAGGCTTCCAGATAGGCATTACCAGCCTTTTTCCCTGTATCCCTTGGGACATGCTTTTTCATCCTTTTTTCTATTCTAGATACTCTTCTGACATAATTTGTCAATGTTCTTTTTAAATGTGTTGTTTTTCATCTCATCCAAAATTCCATTCAGTAGCAGTAAAAATATACAGAAAAGTAAAAGAATAAAGCCAGCCTTATTGATGATAGAAAAAGCACATCAATGTAAGAGATGTTGATGAACTTATGGAAAAGAAAAAGAAAGGCATTGGCATGATTAACTGATATACCAAAGTACGGAAATAGGAGATGTATCAGCATTAAAAACCCAGAAAGCCATTGATTCTGAGATGCTTTTGTTCTTGTCTGCTGTCAAGCTCATTTTTCAAGCTTCCTAAAGATTCCTAAAGCCACTATTATCCTTTCAATAAACTAATTTTTACTTGGGTTAGCTAGAATTTGATCCTATTATTTACAACTAAAGAATCCCAACCGACCTACCAGCAAAAATACAGTGCAGAAATATGAACAAAATAATATTTAAAAATACAAGAACCATCCTAGCTGGGTAACTCAACTGGTTAGAGCATCAGCCATACACACCAAAGTTGTGGGTTCAATTCCTAGTCAAGACGTACACAAAAATTAACCAATGAAGGCATAAATAAATGAAACAACAAATAAATGTTTCTCTCTCTCTTCCCCCTTCCTCTCTCTCCAAAAATCAATAAGTAAATTTTTTTTAGAAGTCACCAATCAAAAATTAATTAATTAATTAGTTACTTAACTAAGCAAAAACACAAGGACCAGAAAGCTTTTCTCCCATGTGAACATCTGAAAAAACATATACATATGTATATGCATACACATCCACACACACGAATACAGCCCACCAAAACTTATAAGATTCTAAGAAAAGACACGACTAGGATTTTACAAATAATCAAATTTACCCAGAATTACACTGAAAAAAAAAAACCCACGTGGACAGCCACGAGTCAGTGTGAGGAATAACTAGATTCAACTGAAAGACTAAATCAGAGAACTTTCTGAAATATAGCTTTAAAATAATAGAATTTTCTTTTTTTTATGGAAAATAGAAATATTTATTGAAGAAAATACAAGATATAAGAAACATTGTACATAGGACAATGACACCTGAGTCCCCTTCAAAGTAGGCACCTTGGGATCTCACACAGTTCTCCCAGTCGCCATCAGCTGCCCCATTGTGTTTTCCTGAATCTCATCAACAGTCTGAAATCTCTTCCCTTTCAAAGGTGATTTTAGTTCTGGGAAAATCCAGGAGTCATGGGGTGCCAGATAGGGGATGTAGGGGGGCTGAGACACCTGGGTGATTTGATGTTTTGCCAGAACACTCTTCCTGAGATGTGATGCACAATTGGGCCTGTTGTTGTGATGAAGCTGCCAATCACCAGCTGCTCAATGCTGTGGCCTTCTCAATCATCCAGATAGTTTCCTATTCCATGGAGAAATGTTCAAGCTGTTTTTTCCCTGGCTGGTGTGGCTCAAGGAAATTGAGTGCCAGCCTGTGAAGCAAGGGGTCTCTCTGGGTCGATTCCCAGTGAGGGCGCATGCGTGGGTTGCAGGCCAGGTTCCCTGTAGGGGGCTCACGAGAGGCAACCCCACACTGATGTTTCTCTCTCTCTCATCCTTTTTTCTCTCTTCTGAGTCTCTGCCCTTCTCACTCCGGAGTCCGGACTTTAGTTACATCCTCCTGAGTCCCAGTCCACTCACTCAGGAGAGCAGCCCTTAGTTACCATCTTGAGTCCCTGCCACAACCTTCTCCTAGAATTTTCTATTTCGAAGACTATATGATTAAGAACCTGAAATATTTTAATGATGTAATAAAAGTGGGCACTTTATTTTTCAACATAGAAAAAGGAGGCAATTAGACACTCGGAAAGAATATGCTAGAAAATCATAGTCCAAATATTCAAATTAAATAAACAAGGCATGATTTTCTGCACTTGACGGTAGGTAAGTAAAGAGATTTCCTTGTAGGGGATGCATGATAAGCCATTAACCTATGGGTCAATTCATTCATGGTACTTCTGTGAATAATATTTCAAGTAAAAGAATTACTGAATATACTATTTAATGGTTTCCAGTTTTTAGCACTAACCTATTAACAAAATATATAGTTCTTATGTTTACAACACAGGATGAATAAATCCAGACAATGTAAAAGTAATGTTATAGCTTTATAAAGGAAAGCTGGCAAATAAATCAAAGGAAATTTACATGCTAATTATGTTTTAGAGAATTATCAAATGTTGACTGAAGTTGAGAGACCAATAAATAGAATACAACCAATATAAGAACTAAAAATACTTTTAAAAAATGCTTGAGAAAGAGTCTGTAGGAACAGTTGTTGAAGATGGCTTAACTACACTGTACACTATATTCTTTAATATGGTAATATTTTCAGAAACCTTTAAAGTGATGATTGTAATAACTAGGAAAATGAAAAGTGAAAATTTAAAATTGGTGGGGGATAAGTGAAAGTGGGCAAGGGGTGGGGGAAATGAGAAGAGAGGCTTTGCATGGGGTGATGGGTGCATGATATAATGTGCAGATGATGTTCTATTGAAACTTGTATGGTTTTGTGAACAAATGTTACCCCAATAAATTCCATTAAAAAAGAAAAAAGAAAGCAAATTAGAAGACAAATTTAAATGTCAAAAAAAAAGCAAATAAAGTCATTGCCTTTTGGGAATGGGAAACATGCCTTGATCTTCTGTTAGAACTTTTATCATGTTCCTGTATTATGTACACACTTTTCAACACCTGAGTAATGTGTCATAGGAAACTGAACAGAGTAACCCGGAAACACTCAATCCATACAGGATGGGGCCATCACATTGCTTAACTTGGAACTTGCTTTTTTTCTCAGAAATGCACCCCAAAGGTTGCAGCTGTTTTGATAGTAGACTCATCAGGTTGTAAGTATAGAGGACTTAAAACAACAGGTCTTTTCACATGAACTTGTGTTAAGTCACATCTAAAAGCAGACCTTTTTTTTCTCAATTTTTGTTGTTTCATTTCATGTGTTATTTTCATGCCTTGGCTGGGTGGCTCAGTTGGTTGGAGCATCGTCCCATACACCCAAAGGTTGTGAGTTTGATTCCTGCAGGGCACATACCTAGGTTGAGGGTTCAATCCCCAGTCGTGGCGTGTGCAGGAGACAATCAATCAATGTTTCTTGTTTCTCTCTCCCTCTCTCTGTCTCCCCCTTTCTGTCTCCCCCAACTTCTTTTCTCTCTAAAATCAATAAACATATCTCTTGGCGAGGATTAAAAAAATTCATGTGTTATTTTCAAACCATCACTTTAATGTGCCCAAATTTCTGCTAATTCATGGTAACTTTCTTCTATATTACATTCTCTTCATTGCTAGATAAATATCTCAGGTTATAATTACCACTCCTCACTGAAATGGGAGATGGAATTTTCTCTTTGAACCTGCTGATGTCTGCAGTTCACATTATTATTTCCTAAAATGTGAACTGCCTTTTCTTTGCACGATCCATATTCACTCTGTATAGCTAAGTTTCTTATTTTATTCCTTCCTTATTCTTGCCAACATTCCATCCAACACTGACTTGGGTTCACTTTTCTCCTCTTTAGAACTGTCCTTCACTCTGGCTTACCTCTCAAAATATGGCTTCCATCTTATCTAAAAATGTTTCATCTTCCCAATAGCCATAGCTAGAAAGGCTATCTTCAAACCTGTTCACACTCTCATCTAACCGGCAGAACAGGTTTACATACCTGACCATTATAATCTCAGAAAAGCAAACAAAGAAAATGCCTGAAGGTCCCTGGAGCAGTTAGCCTTTTACCCTGACTTGGAACATCTACAGACTGACAGACGGCTGAGCCTCTTTGCTTCTGGAACTGTGGCTCCAAAGAGACTCCCGAGGCCACTCACTACTGTCCCTTTATAACAGGTCAGACCTAGAGCCCTTCCACAAACAGAAGAACAAGGACTTACACAAGTTCTTGATGACAAAATTCCAAAATATCTTGATCATCTATTCCAATATTTTCTAAGCCTATTTCTTTACAGTTATTTTTTAATATTGCAGCCTAATCTTTATATTTAATATCCAAAAACATCTCATTTTAAAAATAAACCTGTTATTCTTCCAATTGCTTTATTATTTATGTTACTGTCCTCGGTTCCAACTTCTCACTGACAGATAGACATATGAAAATATTGGCAGGAGTGGGAGAACAGTTGATGATTATCTGCTCTCACCTTAGAATACCGGCTCTTAAAGGGGTCCCCAAACCTGCAGCATCGGCAGTGCCTGGGAACTTGTTAGAAAGTATCTTATCAGACCCCACCCCAGATCTTCTGACTCAGACGGCCTGTGGGTGAAAACATTCATTCGGTTTTAATAAGCCCTGCAAGGGATTCTGATGTAGACTGCAATTTCAGAGTCATGCCTTAGACAAATCATCCAAAAGTAAATTTGACCAGGCTTTAGAGAGAATGCATAATTACATATAACAAGCATTTTTATTTCAAGAAGTAATTCTAGAAAACTTTAATTAACATGATACATTTTGCAGATAACTTCTATTATCTCCTTTACTTTGGGGAGAAACTGTATAAGAAAATAAAAAAGAAAGGGGAGGAAAAGAAAAAATATCTGGGCTCTTCAACCACTAAGTTGAAGGCTGCTATTAGGCAAAAAGTGTGGAAAAAAGCACACAGAAATCATATCGTGCTATTGATGTATTAGTTCCAGCAAGTAGTGTTTATACCCAAGGACAAGAATGCTTTGAGAAAACTCCCTTGGACACTTCTCCAAGAAGGACATACAGAAGATCCAGAGACACATGAAGAGATGCTCAATATCGCTAGCTATCAGAGAGATGCAAATTAAAATCACAATGAGACACCACTTTATACCAGTCAGGATGGCTATCATAAACAAAGCAACAAACAACAAATGTTGGAGAGGTTGTGGGAAAAAGGGGACCCTAGTTCACTGTCGGTGGGATTGCAGATTGGTACAACCATTATGGAAAACAGTATGAAATTTTCTCAGAAAAATAAAAATTGATCTGCCTTTTGACCCAGCAATTCCACTGCTAGGATTATATCCTAAGAATCCTAAAACATCAATATCAAAGAACCTATGCACCACAATGTTCATAGCAGCACAATTTACAATAGCCAAGAGTTGGAAGCAACCTAGGTGCCCTTCAGTAAATGAATGGATCAAAAAACTGTGGTACATATACACAGTGGAATTCTATGCAGCAGAGAGAAAGAAGGAGCTACTACCCTTTGCAACAACATGGATGGAACTGGAAAGCACTCTGCTGAGTGAAAATAGGCCAGGTGTTGAAAGACAAATACCATATGATCTCACCTTTAACAGGAAGCTAAACAACAAAATAAACAAGCAAGCAGAATAAAAACAAAGACACTGAAATAGAGAACAAGGGAACAGTGACCAGAGGGGAGAGGGGAGGGAATTTAAGGGCAAAAAAAGGGGAGGGATTTGGAGGAACAAGTATGAAGGACACAGGGACAAGAACTAAGGGGGTGGAAATGGGAGGGAGGTGGGGAGCATGGGGTGGGGTGGGCTGGGATGGGAGAAATAGACAGAAAACTGTACTTGAAAAGTAACTAAATAAAATTTTTTTAAAGATAAAAAAAAGAAAACTCCCTTGGGAATTCACAGGCACATGCTCTTCAGCAAAAGTGTTGATTTGTGTAGCTATGGGGTTGGTACTCAGGGAAACATGTTTTCTGAATGCTTTCCAAAAAAGTAAAAAAGCTTTAAAATAAAAAAAATGAATTCTAGTATAGGTGATTACTTTCATTTTGTGTATCAGCTAGTCTGAGAGTCAGCAAATTTTTCTGTAAACAGCCAGATCGTAAATATTGGGTGCTTTGCAGTTCATATAGACTCTCTCACAACTTAATTCAACAGCAGCTCAATTCTGCTGCTCTAGACAGAAAGCAGTGGTAGACGTTATGTAAATAAATGGGCGTGCTGCGTCCTAATAAAACTTTATTTACATAAACAGGAAGTGGAACCAATTTAGCCCAATGGCTGTAATTTGCCTACTCTTTACTGGACCATAAATATATGACTTTTAATATAGCAGTGCAGGTACAATCTAGCTGAATAGGTAGGAAAGAGCCACTAAAGTTAATTAAGGCATTCATGAAAATTGTTACCTGTAAAAACACTTTCTTGGGCCGCAACAAACTTAGCCACAGACATAACCAGCCCTGGCCTGTTTTAACTGTACGTACTGCTTTATTTTTTTTTAAACTATACTCTTGCATTTATCTACTTAGATTCTGTTAGCTACCCTTTCCGAGTTTCTGCTTCTCAAGTCATGCCCCCAGGAGAGCAGTCCTCCCAAGTCTTCTCCATTCATTTACATGAATATTCTGGGCCACCGTGACATTCTTTAAAATTTAGGTCACACAAACTTACCATCTTATGAAGAATCATGTACTTGTTAATTATAGGCAATTAGATTAATTACAGAAAACAGTCTTCTGGTAGTCAGTTCGGTGTGTATGTGCAAATAGATACTCTCTTCTGGCAATTCTTCATTTCTCTCTCTGTTCTCCAACCCTAATCTGGTCGTCTTCTGGCTGCTTGGGAAAATGAAACACTTAGGCTCCCTAATGCGGCCCCAAACCCCATTTTGTGAGTTTTTCTCATTGTGCCCTGGAAAATTTTTAGAATAAAACTACAATTTGCTCAGACAGATCTTTAAACTTATTTCTTTAAAATTTCTCTGTATTTCCAAGGACAACATTTCCCTACAATTGCCAAAGTCTTCGATTCATCCTTTTTCTTCTCACCTCCTGTCCTAAACAGTGCATCCAGTGGCACGACTCCTGTATTCATCTCTAACCATGTTTAAAACTCCCAGTTTCCTCAAATACACATAAATATTAACATGTCCTAAACCCAAATATAGTCAATACATCAATCCATCTAGACCAGGGATTTTCAACCTGTGCAATGCAAGAAATTATAAAATGTGTAACACCTGACTATTTTATCAGGGGCACTGAGCTTTTTTCCCTGAGATTGCCAAATAAAAAATATGACAACAATGTAAATGCCCTTTAATGAACCATAAGTAAGTATATAGGTTATATAATAGAGTTGCATCTTATTGGTCATGTCCCACAGTTAGATTGTGTCTTATTGGTTAATTCTTGGTACAAGAAATCCTTATATACAGGTACAGGCACCTAATTTTTTAAAAAGTCACTTTGGAGCAAAGAGAGTAGGTCATTACAATACCATTGTTTTATTTTTGTAAGAGAATCAAAATTATACCTATTTTTGTCACATCATCAAAAAATATATTATTGGTATGCCAAAGAATTTTAGTAACTAGTTTATGTGTGCCATGAGATTAAAAAAAGGTTAAAGATCACAGATTTAGACTGTGATTCTAATCCACTCAGGATGGGAATGAAGAAATGAGTTTTTTAAAACTTGAATAACCCCAAGGGAGCTAAGAGAATTGACGAGGAAAGAGGAATACCTCTTCTCAGAAACACGTTTCGCGTTGTTCTGCTTGGCAGCACGTCTTTGCCAGGTGAATGAAGTCCACAATCATTGGTTGCAACTGCATCTCTGTTGCATATGGTTTCTGCTTCGCACGGTTGCTGAGGAGCCTGACTCAGAAATGAGTGGCAAAAATAAAAGCGCCGCTGAGCCCCAGAAGGCCAGCTTGTGAACCTGACTTATTTAAAGCTGCACATGCCTTTTCATCGCTCTCACTTCTAAGTTCAAAGGCCCTCAAAAGGCGCAGTTTTCACAATGTCCATCTCCATCCCCATGTTTTATTTAACACAATTTTCTTCAAGCTCATCTGTTCAATATAATTATTATCATAACCTTAATTAATTTTATATTATTATTACTAGGGTAAATGTTTTTGTTTTCTATTTTCATTGCATTTGGATGGTAAATAGGCTATATATTAAATAATTTTCCCTATAATATTTGTTATGAACAACATTTACTCTAAATAGCTAGCTTTCAAATAAATATTACAAGCATAACACATGTGGAAGTTGGGGGTCCCTCAGATGTTATTAATATAATAACCAATAAACTAATTTGAAACTTCAATAATGGCTTCACAATCACGAATTTTCTCTTATAGCCTAAATTTCCCCCACAACTATATAAACAAATGTTTCAATCATTTTCAATATTTAAAATTGTAACCTAGTTTGTCTATTTAATAAAATATCATTTCAAATCTTCCGATGTTATCTTTCCTTTTTTTCTTTTTAATTTACTGCCCTAAACCAAAAGAGATTTAACCACAAAGAAAACAAGGAAAACAATTTAACCACACACAAAAAAATAACATACATTTTCCCAGTGATGGGTAGGGGAAATGTATATTAACTGATATTTTACTGCTTACCTAAACATTCATGGCACCTCAAAACAATTGCAGTAGTAACACCAGAGATCATTAAGAGAACCGAACCTAACTACTAGGCTGCCTATCAGAAAGAAAAACTAAAAAAAAAAAAAATCCCATCTACAATTGCATCAAAATAAAATAAAATACTTAGAAATAAATCTAACCAAGTTGGCAAAAGACCTGTACTCAGAAAATTATAAAACACTGAAGAAAGAAATTGAAGAAGATACAAATAAGTGGAAGCATATACCATGCTCATGGATAGGAAGAATTAACATCTTTAAAATGTTTATGATACCATAAGCAATCTATAGATTCAACGCATCAAAATAGCAATGGCGATCTTCATCAAATTAGAACAAATATTCCAAAAAATTTATATGGAATTACAAAAGACCTCAAGTAGCCACAGCTATCTTGAGAAAGAAGAACAAATTAGAAGGCATTATACTACCAGCTATCAAACCATACTACAAGGCTATAGTAATCAAAACAGCATGGTACTGGCATAAAAACAAATACATAGATAAACAGAAGAATGGAGAGCCAGAAATAAACTACCTTCTTACTTCATATACAAGAATTAAACTCAAAATGGATTAAAGATCTAAATGTAAGACTGGAAACCATAAAACTCCTAGAGGAAAATGTAGGCAATACAATCTCTGACACTTCTCTTAACAATATTTTTTCTGACATCTCTTCTAGCAAGTGAAAATTTAAAAATAAAAAATATATACTACAACAAACTAAAAAGTTTTTATACAGCAAAGGAAACCATCAACAAAATGAAGACAACCTACTGATTAGAAAAAGACACTGATACATCCAATAAGGATGATAATCCAAAATAACAAACAATGAAAAAGTGGATTGCCATCCAATCCAATGAAAAAGTGGATTTTAACATTACTTCAAAGACAACATACAGATAACTAATAGACATATGAAAAGATGCTTGGTATCACTAATCATCAGAAATATGCAAATTAAAACCGTAGTGTGACATCACTTCCCATGTGTCAGAATGGGAACAGACAGTATGGACTTTCCTCAAAAAATTAAAAACGGAACTGCTTTAGGACCCAGTGTTTACACTTCTGGATATATTTCCAAAGAAATCCAAAACACTAATTTGAAAAAAATATATGTACCCCTGTGTTCATTGCAGCATTATTTACAACAGCCAAGCTATGGAAGCAACCCAAGTGCCCACCAACAGACCAGTGGATAAAATAACTGGGGTACATATATACGAAAGAATATTTCTTTCCCCTCCGGGAGCCCCTTCACTTGTGTGTGTGTGTGAGAGAGAACAGGTGCTGCAGTAGCCAGACAGAACTATATAGGGGTGCACCCCATGGAGAGAGTCCTGGACACTGTACCGGGAAGTTGGAAGATAGTTCTCCAGCCTGGCCTTTGATTTCCAATATGGATCCACACAGAATATTCCAGAAATCCCCACAATAACTGTCTCCATGTTACTATGCAGAGAACACACTGAATTCCCTGGGACAGAGATGCTTCCTAATATTCCCCACTTTTTTTACCTAGCCTTTATATGAACAGCTCCATGTTTTACACATAACCGGTGTTATAACACTTTGGTTAGGATGCACTATCTGCTAGGTGTTGACAGTTAAGCATGTGCTCTTTGACCCGGACTGCCTGGGTGCAAGTTGCAGCTCAGCAGCCTAGTTACTTGTTGCATGATCTCATGCCAGGTCTTCTTCCCTTCACAGCCTCAGTTTCCTCATAATTCAAACAGAATAACATTACCTAGCTCATAAATTTTGTGGTAGGAATTTAAATTTCATTAAATTTAAATTTAATGAAATACACATACATGGAGTGGTGCCTATTTATACCCCGAGAACTTCCTCAAGAGAAAGCAAAGCCTGCATTGCAGCAGTAAAACGGATTTCTTTCTCCCGTTTCCACGTCAAGCCTGGGTTAAAGAAAGAACAATTAACTAAATGTTACAATGTGCCTTGGGCGCTTATTGGAAAGTTTTGAAACCTAGTTTGTATTCAGGTCACCTTGGGAAATGAAGAAAGGAGTTCAAGGGTCAGCTGGCTAGTGAATTGCAAATATTATGATAAATAAGAACGAGTGACAACCTTGTTCTTGCTGACCACGAGAATGTGTTCATTGCCAAGGCAACAAACACACTTTGCCTCACTTGCCAAGATGATATTGTTGGACTAATAATATGCAGACCCTGCAAAAGTGAGTCTCAGAGTAAGTAAATTAATCAGAAATAAGCTACCACACTAATGCTCTTGGTGGAGAAGGGACCAGGAAGACCTGGGCCTGCCTTTCAGGATCGGGGGCATGTGAGGAGGGCGGGAAGCACAGTGGGCACTATCAGGACACTGTTGCATTGTCAGAGGTTGGAGGGTGTTCAATGCATCCTACTGACTCAGAGAAACCAGGATTTTACCCTTTGGCTTTTCCTAGAACAGTTACCTTTTGTGGGCCTCTAATATCACATCCATTAGCAGCAGAACCCATTCCAAGGGAGAATGCCTGGATTATGGAAATATCTTGGCTCAAGGCTCAGGAGTAGGGTGGGGTGATTAATGCCACTAAGAAGGACATTTCTTTGTCTGCAGCAGCCTCTTTTCTAAGACCTGATAATAAATGTTCATTTAATCCAGTTATATGGATGTCATAGGAGAGTTGGGGAAAATGTCCACCATCTGTGAGCTGTCGGTAGCCAAGGGCAAGAGCAGCTGGCCTAGGGTTGTGTGTGCGGCATGTGCTAGTTCCAAGGCCAAGCGGGTCATGCCTCAGTCAGCAGTCTAAGTCTCTCAGCTCATCTGTCATTATACTGATGTTTCTACATCCCTAATCTGACCCATCTCTTGCTCTCCGAGTCCGCCCTAACTCAGCCTTTGTCTTCTTTGTAACTTGAGACTTTCTCACCAGAAAACTTTCCTATACCTACAGCCTCTTTTCTTAACTTCTCTTTCTTGCTCCATATGAAAATGTGGCTCCCCAGAGAACACAGCTTCCCTAAGACCTGTCAAGAGGAGGCTATCTTTGCTTGAACTCTACTTACCTTATCACATCATCTAGTTCTTTTACTGCTTCCAACACATCTGTCCTTCATCCTCTTTTAAAAGTCATAGTTCCTCCCAAGTATGTCATCAAACTCTAAGACCCTGATCCTATTTATTCCTATCATGTGTAAGAAGCTTGGTCATGTCCCTCATTTGTGATGGCCTCAAATCAGACCTAGTTAATTGCCTCACTTCTCATCATATCCTGACTTTCATCATTGTCACCATTCATCCTGACATTCATCACCAACTACATTAATGATTCACACGTGGCAGATTGATTACAAACATGAACCCAATTGTCCACCTTTCCCTATGTCCATGTCCTTCACAACATGAGTTTTCATTTCTTCTCATCAAGAAGTCAAGTCTTTTCCATGCACCTTTACCTGCCTCATAGAAGAGTTGGCAGTGCATAGCCCACACCTGAGCTTCACGAGGTCTCCACACTTCCCCTTCTTTTCCCAGCTACCATGTATAGAAGCCTGGGCTAGCTTACTGGAGAGGGCCACCTGCAGCAGAAACAAGCTATGGTTGCCGAGGCTGCCAGCTCTCAGCTAATTTAGCAGCTGACCGTAGACTCTTGTGCAATCCCACTGAGAATGGTTAAGGCTGGTTCAGGTCACCAGACTCACCCAATCAACCCACAGATGCTTGAACAACTGATGCCATGTTAGGTTAATACATTTTGGTTAATTTGTTTTGAAACAATACTAACATATCACATGAGAAAAGGTGAAGGGAAAGAGATTTGGCAATGGGATGCAATAGCAGGAGGGCAAGATGGTGGACAACATAGTAGAATGATGAAATGTTCTAATATATGCTATGAAAGCAAGAACAGAAAAGAGCACTGGATTGAATCCTGTTGCTGACTTTATGAGGAAACCCTTTTTACATAGAACACATATTGGAGAACTGATCAAATATAAAGGCATTCTAATATGCTGTCAATATTTCTGATCAGTAGGCTTCAGTATCAGTAACAGCCATCAAGTCAGAACAGCACTTTGTAAATAACTTGTATGGATAAAATTTTCTAATTTATAAATGTTTCTGTGTGCATTATACATGTTTATATCATATACATAATATATATACACACACACAGACGTGCCTTTCCAGGGTCATATATAATTCAGAAAGCATCACACACCATTCCTCTCACCTTCCCCAAGAGGCCCACCTTCAGGTCAAGAGTATAACAGCCCTACCTCACCCTCAGTTTGCAGTCAAATAATAGGGATCTAGCGTCACTCAGCTGACAGAATGTCTGTAAAGTATTTCTCTCTGTAGTTCCAGAAGTAGAAATTGAGTTGGAAGTGACAGTGACACAAATTTCAATTTCGTAAAAACAGTGAGCTAGTTAAGCATATGTAAAGATAAATAGGCTGCTTTAAGCAAATGGTCTTCCCAGCACTGGAAATATTCAGCAGGAACTGCACAATGTGTTTTAGAAAGATTATATATGGCATTTAAATATTTATTTACAGTATTTTGAGTTTCTAGTAATATCCTATTTTTCTATATTCTGAGATGTTATTTCAAAGCCTTATCTAGTGCAAGAAACCGCATCACAGGGTCTAGGGGATGGGGAGGCGGAGATTAGGATCAAGGTGTTGAATTCACAGGCATTATTACAATATAACCCAGCTGCCACCTACTAGTAATCATCTCCAAACCATTCTTCCAAATATATAAAATAGTCATTCCTAATAACAGTAGTAGTTGTAAAAGTACTTATATACTATAAAGTGATAAACATCACTGTAATCAAATGTTCCAAAGCACTTTCCCAGCATTCTTGTCCTGAAGAATCTTAATAGTTTCTATGGCCCAGATGGTGCTAAGCTAAAACAGGCTAAAGAGATTATTGCAGGACTTCGAGTTCCTTAGTAATAGTTGGTATACATTATAAGAAGAGCAAGGAAATACAGCATTCCCAAACTTATTTAATCATAGAACCCTATTTGTACCAGACCCCTTATAAAACTAATGTCTGAAGTTCACATTTTAGGAAAAAATATATTAATGTATTTCTCTGTCAGTATTTTCTGATTAACAGATTTCAAACTCAATAACCGATCAAGTTGTGGTAGCACCCGCGATAGCCACGATTGCAAAATTGCATGCTATTCTCAGTGCTACTTGACCTCCAGCATAATGGTCAGCTCCTCCATCCATTATGCAGTACATATATCGCTGCTCACTCTGTGGTTCTCTATATCCGCTCCTTTGTTAGCAATAAAAACCAAATTCAACAAAGAGTCTTCCTTTTGCTATTCAGTTTGGAATCCCTGAGCTTTGCACAAGCTTTCCTCTTGAAAGCTGATAACTTGGTTTCAGGACAAAGGTGGAGAAACGTAAGTTTTGTTGACTTGCAGATCATCAAAGCATAGCTTCCAGAAGGTGTAAGAGTCACCACAACAGTGACCCACACCAGCATTGACAGGCTGTGCCTCATGTCTTCTGCATAAAGCTCCAAGAATTAGTTTAGCCTTTCCCAGAAGAGAATTAAAACAAGAGCCGTTAGGTCCGTGGTTGTTATTTTCTTACCTGTAGAAAATGCAGTTATATTTAAGTATTCTCAAATTCTAGTGCCTGCCAGCTCAGCCTGGATTTTACCGTTGGGGAAAAAATAAAGAAGGGTGTCAGGTGCAGCCTGGTTCTGAGACTTGTCCTCCTTCTTCCAATCATCCTCAAGTTGAGTTTGCCCTGTGTATGTTTTCAACTGGTTGTTCATCTGCATCCTTTACCATATCCTTTAACCAACTGGTAAGCTTAAGTCTGAGGTCTGCGAGTCACTCTAGCAAATTAATTAAACCCTAGGAGGGAGTTGGGGAAACCTCTGCTGTATAGCCGATCAGTCTGAAGCACAGGCTACAGCCTAGACTTGCAATTGTCACCTGAAGAGGGTAGGCAGTAATCTTACGGAACTGAGCCCTTGACCTCCTACGTATGACCCCTGGCTGTCTCCAGGTAGACAGTGTCAGTACTGGTTTAAATTGGAGGACACCCAGCTGGTGTCACAGAGAATTGTGGGAAAAAACCCACACATCTGGTGTCAGAGTGTTGTGAATGTGATAGTAGCCTGAGAGGAAAGGATAAATGCAGGAGGAAGACTGGGCATTTTTCCCCTTATACATTTGATTAGGGTGAGTTAATTTAAAGTCACATTATCTTTGAAGTTACTGGCAAAATCACTTTTGTTGACTTGAAAATCCAAGAAATAGACCCAGAGGTGTGATCCACGCAAAGGGCTGTTGAACCTGACATCCCAAATGATAGGGAAGTGATAGCCTTAACCCTGTAGCTAATCCAAGCCAATTGGCATGATCTGAGTTGAAAGAATTTCTTCCAAGGGCAGAATTATTAGGCTCCATTGAGACTTCATAGATGTGTCCACTGACATGAGATTGATTGCTGGAGGTCAGAGATTAGAACAGGCAAAAATGAAGTCAAAGTTGTGCTTCCCACATCCTCCATGCAAACAAACTGTTGTTCATCACCCAGAGGGCAACATCTGGTGGCAGAAGCTGCCATGTTCTTCATGAATGAAACCAACTCTTGAGCAGATAGTTGTGGAGTTTTCTTAGTATAAAGGACCAGGAGCCTGAAAGAATAATTTCCACTTACTCCTAGAAATGACTATGCACCAAAAATGAATAATTCTATAGTTTTCTGTAAATATCTGGCATTCTCTCTGATTCAGGTTGAACAAGGCATTAAACTGGGTTTAATTCTCTCCTTTTAGTCCTTGTTCCAATGGCCCATGGCTTTTTCAGTTTATCTGGCATTCTCTTCCAACCTCACATGTTGTAGTGTTAACCATGTTGCCTAGAGAAAGGTTCTTCAGAGAAACACAAACAATAACCTTTGGGTGTTTTCTCTCTTGCTTTCATGTGACCTTATTTATGTAGACAATTAGTACTGCCCCTAATTACACTAGTACTCAGTAAAATCCTATTTTTTGTTTGTGCTTACTGAGAAGACTCAGCTATATAGATATTTCTTTTGTTTTCAATTGAGTAGTGCCATCATGTTGGGAACCGCCCTGCCTGGTTTTAGAAGCTGTAACCCACTCATGGTTAAGGCTGAGTGAGCGACCTTTGGACCATAAGCCACTAAGGAGATAAAGCTTATCTCCCTGGCAGGAGAGCACCACTTCTGCTCCTTTTACTTCATCCATAACTGGTGCCCAGTGCTTGATCAGTTAGCAAATGACAGGTAAGATTCCCCAAGGGGGGAAGAACCTAAGACGGGCTCGATCATGGGGAGGCCCCAGGGAAGAACTTGGGGGGCTATAGCAAAAGGAGGTAATGGACCGTCATCCCTCAGCTACAACATAGCCTGAATCCTCATCCTGTCTGTGAGAGTCTCCTAATCTCTTGACTGCCTCACTTCCCCTGCCTGACTTAAGCCTGAAACAATGACAGAGGGCAGTGCAGCCCTGTGCTGGGAAGGGCAGGTTCCCCAGGGTGATCAGGCCTGAGAAAGAATACGTAAAATCCTGTGAAAGCTGCTTTGCTAAGAATGCTCTCCATTAAATGATAAGGGTCTGAGCAGGAAATGAGTATGTTTCCCAGTTTTGTAGCCCTTTAACTAACGGACCCTCATTCAGAATAGGCCCTTGTAGTTCTTCGTATGCTATCTATTGTTTGATCCTTGCTGCATGACAATGATTAATGAACTTTACCTATATTCCTGTGCAAATTGAAACCCAATAAAAGCCTGTCAAGGCAAGGTCCTGGCGCTCTCCCCTTGATAGAGTAGCCATGCCGTCTCTTTTCCTCCACAGAACTTGGTAGTCCATGTGAATGTATCTTATATCATCCATAACGCCACGGACACTGTGGCTGGTGTCCGCGTCAGGTGAATATTTGTAGCACCATCAGACCTCTTCCACAACATGGGTGAGCCCTGCCCTGGCATGGTCTGGGATCTGTTGGGACCTTTTGGGACCTTTCACATGTCAGTCAACCTCCAGGTTCTTGACTCATGCATGAAAAATTTCAAGGACAAGTTAGAGTGAGAACAAAGCAAGATTATTCAGGTAGAGAAAAAGAAAGAGGCCAGGGTGCAGAAGCCACTTGAAAGAAGCAAAAGTACATGTCACAGTAGATGTGGACCAACTCAGGATTGGGTGGTGAACCTGGTCAGTTAGTGTTCGGGATTTTCTGTGTTTCCAATGTGGGAGCATTGTCGCCAAGCTTTGTGGTACCTGATTCTGACTCCAGCTTCTGGTATTATTCCTAATATGGTCTGTTCTGGAAGTGTCAGTGCTTGTCCCCTTCTACTTGTGGGGTCACTTTTCATTATAATGATGGTATAATGAGCTTTAGAGTCATTCCCTGGTTAGTTTCACTCTATCTTGGGTTGGTCTGGCTCTAATTGGTCTTTGTTATCTATCTCCCTAGGGTGATACAAACCATGTGCTCTTTGGCATCTTCAGTTAGGGAGGATAGAGGCTTATTATTTATCAGCTGGCTGTTAATTGCTCAGCCGTTCTAGCCATTTGTTCAACCATTTAGCTTAGTTTCCTCATGTCATTTGCCAGGGAATTTTCCCCATTTCTTACTAACCTGCCTCAAAAACAGTTTTCAACTTGTTTCTGTTAAAACTGTATCTCAAGAAATAAAATATGAATAATTTTCTATTTTCAGACTCTGAAGACTTTAGAAATTATTGTCTTCGGGGAAAATTAACCTACAAAGTATTTGCTCCACCCTGGTCTGCTTTTTCTAATCATCAAGGATTACCATGGTAGCTACTTTGGATAGCTGCAAAATCAGACTTAAAGAGGTTCTGAAGTAAACACCTGCATAGGCAATTAAAGCTGTATGAGTTGTCCACAGTGTGTAGGACTAGGGACTCCAGCAAGGATCAAGACACAATCCCTGCTCCTATAAGGCTCACATGCTGGTGGGGGAGAGAGGCAAGGACACCAGACAGAGGGAGAGGAGTGCACAGTACACAGGGCAGTCGGTGCACATAGGATGGCTTCAAATCCCATCCCAGGGAAGTCGGACCGGCCTCCTGGAGAAAAGGATTTGTAAGCTGAGATCCGACAATGACTGAAAATGAGCCAGGTACAGTGGGGTGAAAAGTAGGAGGAGGAGGGGAACATTTGGGAAGTCATCGAATGTGATTTTTATTTTCTCAATGTGGGCAGGGGGATAAGAGAGGGGAGAAGGAAGAAAGCTTTAAATTACAGAATTAGATTTACATTGTTTTTAAGATACTTATGGTTGCTATATAAAGAATGCCTCGAAAGTGGGTACAAGGCTACATGAGTGAAGAAAAACTTTGAAGGCCATTCCAGTAACACAGGTGAGAGATGATGGTAGCCGGAACTAGGACTGTGGTGGAGGGAACTGAGGAATATGAAGAGGCTTTCTAAAGAGAAAGACTTGACAGACTTGACTTTGATGACAGCAAAAAATCGTAGTCAAGTCTGGCATTTATATTCCAATGGAGTTGGGGGGAGAATTTAGCCGTAATATCCAATGAGACAGTCAACCTAATCCAATGGGTGTCCAACTGTGATTCCTGGGCCCGCAGTATCAGCTCCCCTGGGGACATGGTGGGCGTGCAGCCCGCAGTATCAGCTCCCCTGGGGACACGGTGGGCGTGCAGCTTCGCAGGCCCCGCCCCAGACCTAGGAATCAGAAACACTTGGGGCGGGGCTGCACTGTAACAAGTCCAGGTAATTCTAAAGTTTGAGAACCGCAGATCTAATTCTTAAACTAGACGTTAGCAGCTGAATACAACATAACAGAAAAGTGATATGCCAAATATTCTCTCTAAAACAACAATACTTGTTTTGGATAATTATTCTGGACATTGAAGATCAATAATTTGGGACACTGTCAAACTGAACTTTTCTCATTATTCTGTTTCTAAATAGACTATATGGCCTGATTCTAAAGATTCCTAAAAACTGGCTTTTGTTTTTTGATAAATTAGTGTTTAAAATACAGTAGGATTTACCAGCCTCTGCACATAAGAAGTTGTGTTTGTTCCCTTTGGCAAAGGACTAAGGTATCTCTACTCGCAGTGGTGAAAATACGAAATTTGCTATATGGATCTAATCTGAAACCAACAAGGGGACCTTACATTAGATATCTGTTGCAGCTGGGACTCAAAATTGCAGGCAAAGCTCTGAACTAAATGCCCGGGTATGAAAAGGGAGGCCCATGTGAGACTGCAGGAAGGCAGCCAGAACCTGCTTGGATCGCTAGCCTCAGAGCACATACTGAAAATCTGGAACCTGACCTGGAAAGCAGTGTTGAAGCATCTGACGTTATGTGGACATCTATCTTATCGAGACAAAGATAGCTAAGCCTCTGAGACTGTAAGGGTGGATGCAGACTCTTAGCAACTCTCAGCATCAGAAATTAACACAAACTCACTAAACAAATATAAATCTGGACAAGTATGCTTACAAGCATACTTGTCATGGAAGTTATTATTTCCTAATATCTCACGTAAATCACAGTGATTTTTAACATGCTTGTGGCTTTCACAAACCACTCTTTGGAACATCTCTTTCTGAAAAATAAAGATAATCAGTGTTTATCTATCATTGCAACACTATATCTTGAGGTAAGATTGCAAAACCATCTTTTGTAAGAGTTTAATGTAGCTGTTTTCCTGCACCCAGGGTTTTATTTACTTTCTGAGTTGACGAATCTTGAAAAACACATTATGCTAAAACAGGAATGGCCATGTATTTGTGGAGGAAAAAGTGGGACAGCAAGATTGATATTCAGTTTTCTGTGATAAAAACTCATTTAAGATAAAATGGCATATTTTGTAAGCATAAAGCAAATCATTCATCAAGCCAGAGAGAGATCATTAAAGGTAGTTTATAGATATAAGTTTGATTGAGCAATGTGTATGTGTGTGTTAATTATTTCTAATAATAGTGTCTTTTACACAAATAAAAATATAGAGATAAAGATATGGAAATACAGATATGCATTAAGAAGTCGTGGGATAATAAAAACACGTGCCAGCCTTGACTATAGTAAAATATTTTACAAACAGACTTTAAATGAATCAAATGGAATTCTGTAAGGGCTGACACAAATTCAAAGAGTTCTTGAGCCATGCAATAAACTCCAGTGGGAAGATATAGGTGACGTTTCTGGCTTAGCACCTTGGTAGGAGCACCGAAGCCAGTCCACTGGATCCTAATAGGCAGCGTTTGTCATGGGGAAAATTTTACCAGACCTGTGAACTGTTTGCCTGTATTTAACCCCTGGCCCTGTCCTTACTGCCTTTGTGATATTGGGCAAGTCTTTCGAACTTTCTGAAACTCAGTACTCTCATCTGTAAAGTGTTGTTAGAAATTCTGGAATTAGCTATGTTACCAAGCTGTTATGAGTATCAAATGGAACACCATTTGTAAAGCTGCTTTGTTAACTAAATATCCATACTGCTTTAAGGTGCCATTATAATCATGATTTTATTGAGGTCTGCTGGTGATGCCATGAGAGGGTGCTAACCCACAGGAAACTAAATCACCTTCATTTACCCTTTCTCCGGGAACAGGAGGATACTAGGTGTACCTGCTTGAGCCCAGGGCATCTTAAAAGAGAGTCCCTTTATCCTGCACCCCTACCCCATCCTCTATAGATATGTAGGCAGTTGGTTGGAATAACAAAGACCAGAGCAACTTGGTTTCTGGTGACCCAGTAATAAACAATCATCCAGTCAGATTTTAAGGCCACCCGCATTTTTTATGTCAAATGCATAACAGGAGATGCTGCCTCTGAACAATATGATTTCTGGCCTGAGATAGGGACAGTTTTCCAGCCACCTTTCCATACCTTAAAAGAGGCTATGCGACCATGCTACCTGCTACTGTGCCAAACAGACATTCACTTTGCAAAGGGAATTGCACAGTGAAGCTTCTGTGAGCACAGAATCTACAGCAGTGACTTTCAGAGAGTTGCCGCGGTATGCTGATTGGCCTTTGGTTTAGATGGCAATAATTCCAGCATTTAGTGCTGCAATTAGCAAGAGCATGCATAATCATCTTACCAAAGTGTGGCACTACTAACAGCACTGTAATTTTTTCTATGTTAATCACAAATGAGTTCACAGGTTAAAAAGTAAGAAGTCATTTACCCTACAGCTATGGCATTCGAGAGGATTTTCTAATTTACAGCATTTTCCCAATAAATTTTGATACATTGTATCCACTCTTAAAATAACTGGAACCACCAACTCTGAATGTCTTCTTGAATATTCATAAAGAAACCTGTATCCATATGAAACATATTTGAAAATAAACAGTAAAATTCAAAGGCTATGAGTTTTCTTTCAAAAGCCAAATATAATTATGAAATTTATTTAGTATTTTAACTGACCTTAAGACATTTGGAAACCTTGAGAGACTGTCAGGGTGATTTTATTGACTATACTTTGAGATACAGAAACCAAATCAATAAAATTATGTGATTTTTCTAAAATCAAACAGTAATGAGTGGCAAATCCAAAACTTAAACCTAAAATATCCTGATTAGCGGTTAATTTCTAGCTCAAGATCTCTTCTTACTTTTACTAGAAATTAATTTTAAGCATTTGGGTGAGAATGCATTTTTTCAAATGATCTTCTAGGCTACAATTTATAAAAGTATTACAATCCATCTGAAAGAAAGCGCTGGCTGGGTATTAAATCACCACCACCCCCTTCCATATATACCTTCAAGCATGGACAGTTCATGCATAATGTTTCTGGGTTCACATGTTTCTGGGTTACAAGGGAGGAAATTTGGACTCTAGAATATTTTCAAAGGAATCATAGAGTCACAGAGGGCATCTTAGAAGTCATCTTATCCAAACACCTGGGTTTACAGTTGGAACACAAAAGCCTGAAGAAATTTAGTGGCTTGACCTACATTCTAAAATGTATGACAAAGCTAGACTGGAACTCAAGTCTAATGTGAATGCCATGAGAAAGCTGTGCCTACCAACTTATTCAGTGCCAAATACATGTTTAGGAAAAAATGGGTTCAGGAAGCGACGTTTACTTTTTAAGCCAGTATCAAAAGTAATTTCAGATATATAGCTATGGTCATTGTACAAAGAACTTAAAAGAAAAATGAAATTCTTATACTTTGTTAAATTTAGTTGCTCCAAATAGTGCTTCACGAAGTGACTTTGGAAGTATTTTAACCATACAGCAATATTGTCTTAATTTGTATATTGAAATCAGTTTGTCTTACACACAACTTAATAGGTACTTCTCAATGGACCCCAGAGATATTAATACTCCATTCATGTCTTTAATCTTTAAATGCTACAAGTGGCTTTGGTAATAAATATTAAATTAATTAAAATAGAAGAGCTAACCAGGTATATCAGTCTGAAGCTCTTATTTAGATACAACTCTGAGTCCTTTAGAGCAAAGCTTGCAAACACTTGACCCCCACTGCATTTTAAAAAATTCTTGTGTTGTCAACCTTTAAGTATCAAAAGACTTTCAGCTTCTCTCAAAATGCAATAGACCCAGCCACCAAAAGCCTGCATTCCAATATGGCAATAAGTGGCTAGAAGAACTAGATAATAGCTTATACAGTAGCTGCCAAATTTGGATTCCCCAGGACATTTCTTGGTCATGTCACACCCCCTCCCCTTTTAATCACTCACTTACATCATTGACTGACCTCTGTCATCACTTAAATTTACAACTCAAGATAATATACCAAAGAATCATAAATACAATATCCCATCAATAAGACTTACAAAAATCTGTACTACTCTCAGAGGAAATCATCTTGCTTGCCAGGGAATCGTTTGCATACAAATCAGTCTTCTGTAAACTGGCTGAGGGGCAGGGATGAAAGAGCAGGCTTGTGGTCACTTTCTGAGTTGATAATGCATTCCCCTTGGACCGTCATTGGCAGTGCACAGCACGGGGCAGTACTGCTGGGTAGGATAGCCTGTTTAGAGCAGGTGTAGTTCATGAACTGCCTCTAAAACATAAAAGGGAGCAGTTATTTTGATGACTTTCATTCTAAACTTGTTTATTATTTTGTTATTAGTAGAAAAACAGAAAAAAAACCCCTTTGCATTTCACATTGCTCTATTCTTGACAAACTGAGACACCAAAAAACTTCATTTTTAGTGGCTTATTCTAATAAGAAAAACTTCTTTATTTGACCTTACTCAAGCATCACAATCTCTTTTAACATCTCTTAGAGAACTTATGGGGACATAGACCATACTATTTTTCCATGTTTAGCTCAACAAAATACAAATTAAGAGTTATTTTGTCTTGCTATTGTGGCTATTGTTTTAAGATTTCAATTTAGGAAACATTTGTTTCTGTCACTTGTAACACATGTTACAATGATATTACTATTACAATTGCATATTTAACATTCACTATACATGCATACATACACACAAGTAACTGTGTGTTTGTATGAATATGCCATGTTCTACACTTAAGGAACTCATAATCTAGTTGGAGAGACAAATAATTAAATAATAATAATGCATTATAGCAGAAGTTGTAAGGATATAGTTAAATCTCAGTTTTCCACACAGCAACATTTTCACCAATATGTCCTTTAGAGCAAGAGACATAAAGGAAAGGAAAAACAAATAGGACCTCATCGAATTAAAATGCCTCTGCACAGCTAAAGAAAACATCAGCAAGATGAAAAGGAAACCAACCATATGGGAAAATATGTTTGTCAATGATACCTCAGACAAGGGTTTGATCTCCAAAATATATAAAGAACTCACATGACTCCACTCCAGGAAGATCAACAATCCAATTAAAAAAATGGGCAAACGACTTGAACAGACACTTCTCTGAGGAGGACATACAAAGGGCCCAGAGACATATGAAAAGATGCTCAGCATCACTAGCCATCAAAGAGATGCAAATTAAATTCACAGTGAGTTACCACTTTACACAGGTCAGAATGACCATCATAAATAGATTAACAAACAATAAGCCTGGCAAAGTTGTACAGAAAAGGGGACCCTAGTGCATTGTTGCTGGGAATGCAGACTGGTGCAGCCACTGTGGAAAATAGTATGAAATTTCCTCAAAAAATTAAAAATGGAATGGCCTTTTGACCTGGCAATTCTACTGCTGGGATTATACCCTGAATCCTGAAACACTGATTCAAAAGAACCTATGCACCCCAGTGTTCATAGCAGCACAATTTACAATAGCCAAGTGCTAGAAGCAACAAAAGTGCCCATCAGTAAATGAGTAGATCGAAAAACTGTGATACATTTACACAATGGAATACTACAAAGCATAAAGGAAGGAGGAACTCCTACCCTTTGCGACATCAAAGATGGAAATGGAGAGCATTATGTTAAGTGAAATAAGCCAGACCAGGCATATGATCTCACCTGTAAGTGGAATCTAATCAACAAAACAGATAAGCAAGCATGCAAAATATTACCAGAGATATTGAAACAAAAAACAAACTGACAACCAGAGAGGTGAGGGGAGAGAGATAACAGGGGAGAGAGGGGGAAGGGTTTTCAAGGAACATGTATCCTTGAACAAACCAAAGGTAGACAGGATTGAGGTAGGGATGGGAGAAAGTGATGGTGAGAAAATGGAGATACCTGTCCTTGAACAACAATAAAAAATGCAAAAAAAAATCTCCAGGTTAAAAAAAAAGATGATGTAAGACATCTATTAGGCATCTCCATGAAAATTTCCTCTAAGCAGTCAGCACTGTAGATTAAGAACTTGGGAAGAAGAATGGGCTAAAGGTAAATTGAAGTTATAAGTTTAGGTTGAGACTGGTAAAAAAAAGTGTGTGCATTATTTAAATAACTAGAATGTTCTCTTTGGCTGAATAAAATCAGGTTTATTTCTTTCTCAATAGAGTCCTATTGGGGAGGAAGGAGTAGTGCCCCTAGGCTGTAATTCTAGAAAGCAGGCTTTTTCAAACTGAGGCTTTTAACATTGCCATTGGGCTGAGGGTGCTCTGGTGAGGAGATTTTTGTGGGCGGGCCTAGAAATAGCATAAATCACTCCTGACCAGAACTCAATGAAGTGACCCCACTTCGCTGAGAGACAAGGAATGTAACTCATGGCCCTGCAACTAATCTGAACTATGGAAGAGGACAGTGAATCCTTGCTGGATGGCCGGCCAGCTCTGATTATGTGTGTAAAATAAGAAAGGAAAAGACCAGGAGCGGACCTATTGGTAATATCAATTTTCAAAAATTAGGGGAGAAGGGGGGAAGAAAATTGATGAAAGAAACTATGAGAATACAGGCATTCCAGATTAAAAAATTCCCCTACCATTTATGATCTTCTATACACACCTTTGCACTCATCACTGGGTGGTATGATATAATAAGCAGTAATAAAAGAGAGAAAGTTTTCTAGAACACACAACTCAGATGTCTATAACCCATATACCATTCCTGAAAGCATTATTAGAAATACTCTAATCAAAGAGAATTATATCAGTATCAGAAATAATCAGTGAAACATGGTATATAAAAGAAGTGATAGTTCAAATGGAATAATTATTGTTAACAGTTATTTTAAAAGAATGAGTATAAATAAACTAAGTTAACCAAAATAATTGAGATAAAAACAACTAAAGAAACTTGAAAGAATAAAATTAAAAGGAGAAACACAGAATTGATAAATAAATCCAAGAATCTGCTATTGGAAAAGTCCAATAATAGTCCTTTCCCAAAACTAATTAATTAAAGGAGAAAATACAAATACATGGGAAAAGAAGTTGCAATTACATAATCGATGTTTTTAATTATCAAATAATATTACCATGTGCAACTCTATATTCCTTAATGAGAGAATGCTGATGAAGGAGACTCATTAAAGAAAAATGTACGCTTAAAAAATTCACAAAAATAAGCACATTCTCATTATTCACAGTTGTGTAAACACTGAATTTATAAATACTGAATCATCCACCCCAGGGGAAATACAGGGTTCAGTTCCTGCAAAACTCCAGCCACATTTTCGTCAAGGGATCAAGACATAACCCCGTTTTATGTAATCTCAGGTTTAAAGACACCTTACGCAATATATATTGGTGATTCGCCCACACTGAATTCACAGCCACCAGCACTGTTACTCATGCGTGAACAAAGTGCATCCAACCCTCCTATTTTCTTTCTAAGGCACATCCACGTCTTCTAGTGCTCAGAACACTGGACAGCACTTCAGCGCTGCCCTTGGGGACATTTTCAACAGCTACTAAATCACCAACAAGAAGTACAAAAATGAAGAAAACAGGGCACTAAAGAGACCACAGAACGAGCACTTTTTCACAGCAGGAGAACTCAGACATGAAACCAAAGCATTGCTTGGTCCCCCCTCCGCTGGGACCACACGCCCAGGCAACTCAGAGGGTCGGCTGTTCTGAGCAGGCACAAGTGTGAGAACGACCACAACAGTGCTGTGAATGTTGATTTGGGGGTACAAATAAGTTTCGGCAAGTATAGAGTTCATGAGGAATGAGAATTGACTGAAACATGTTAAAATAAGTCCATAACTAAAGAAACAAGAGAAGCTGTCCCAGCAGTGACCATCTTCATCCCTGCTCATTTCACAGAAGAGTTCTTTTAAACCTTCACAGAATGGCAAGCCTCAATAGTACTTGATTTATTTCAGAAAATTCAAAAGAAAAACATTTCAAATTCACTTTCAGAAGTTAGCATAACTGAATACCAAAACCTGATAAATGATCATTACATTTTTAGATTCATTACATACGACGATCGCCTGTATTAAAGAATTACACTGGGAGTTGGGAAGAATTTCCTGTGGGAGGTGGGGGTGGGTAGGGAAGGGGAGAACAGTGAGGGGAGGAAAATGGGGTCAGCTGGAATTGAACAACAATAAAAAAGAATTATAAGTTTTTTTAAATTAAACGTACTGTGTTGATATTGGTTAATAACTGGTTGTACACGTTTCGAGTGTACAATTCTACGACACATTATTGCACTGTGTGCTGACCACCCCAAGTCTAGTCTCCTTCCGTCACTATGTATTTGACCCTCTTCATCCTCCGCCACTCCTCTTCCCCTACAGCAAGAATAACAAGTATGGTAAAGACTGAAGTGAGATTTAGGGCCACAGAGGCTCTTAGCCTGCCAAGTACATGTGCTAATGCGTTTCCTTCACAACACGTCTGATTCAAATTTAACATCAATGGCCTTGGCAATTGCAGAAAAGTTAGCTTTAGGTTGTTTTTTTGTCAACAGAACCAAATCCCTGAAAAGAAAAATAAGTACCTTCTCAACAATATTATGAATTTGCTCCTTTCTAAAAAATTAGTTGTAGTTCGTTGAGTAACCAAAGGGATAGAAGTGCACTTGCAGAAAGGCTGGGGAGAGTGTATTCTCAATGCTCTCCATTTCTTCAGTCATAAGAAGAAACACAGCCATATAAGATCTAAGGCACAAAACAAACATGATTCAAATCACAATCATGGATAACATAGTCATTTTAATCATTTAAACTATTGCTTAAAGAGTTGCGTTGCTTAGAGAGGTGTGGGTCTCCCTTGCCTCTTTCTGTTGACAACTGAGCAACATCCCTTAAATTTTAAGGGGAATAGGGAAAATAAGAAGAACTGAGTTTCCAGGCAGCCCAGTGTTGTCTTCAATGGGGGAAGAAGGTGATATAAGGAAGATGCTGTCTTCAGGGGCCAACTTAGACAGAAACACAACCCAGGCCAGGAAAGAGACATAATGGGTAACATCACATTCTTCTCCCACCCCAACCTCATCGATCCCCACCCCTAGAAAATATCCCTGGCTTTTCTGTTCTGTGTAACATTGGAGCCAAATCCTTTTTATCTTCCCAGAGAAAAGAGTAGCTTTGTTCCTTCAGCCTTCGCCATGCAGTCTGATTAAGTGCCTCACTTCTGCATGCACAGCACACTTTGTGCACTGAGGAAGTGACTAGGGGATTTGAGCAGATGGAAGAGATTGAGGTGGGAGATAATGGGTGATGAGAACTGTGAGATTTTCCTGCATAGCCCCATGTGCCCTACTAAATAGGCAAGTAGCATATGTGTAGAGAAAGGAGACAGGTTTGTACTGAGAGACATGATGAAATAAAAGATAAATGACTTTTTAATGAATTTAATAAAAAGGGGCGCCCCGCAGCAACAAAGTGCATTGGTCTAAAGAAGGCAACTTACACTGCTTTTACTACTTTGTGGTTGAATTTAATCCCAATTTTACATCAATGGTGATGCCTCAAAGAGATGTCTCCAATGTATTTTCCGATGGGGTCTAGCTGTAATTAGAAAAACAACTTATTAGAAAAATATAGTAGTAAGACAAGAAGTTAATTTCAGTATTAGTAAGGAAGAGAGAAAAGTAAAAATTATGTATTGCTTCAAAATTGGAAAGTTTTTAGTGTCTTATTTAGAAGAGGCCAAGTACAGCAGCATAATCTGGGAGGGTTTTTTTTTATAAATAGCATCTGTCTTCCCCAGAGATCACTTGTTCCAGTGATCAAAATCCAGTGATTTGAAATATAAATGAGAACAAGAAACTGAGCAAAGTGAAGTCCAGAGAGTCACTGGAATCCATCCAATATGTCTCACAGTTGTATTTTGGTTTTATTCATAAGTTACTAACTCTTCTTTTGGACATGTCTCCTAGCGTTATCTATAATATATGTTTCAGTTTTACAGTATATAAATGAATTCCTCCAAAGTATGTTTACATCCTTTAACTTAGTATTTTTACTTTTAAAACTATTGCAAATAAACTTTTCCGAATAAATAAAAACATAACTACACAAACAAAAACATGCACGTTTTGTTATGGTAGCAAAAATTTTGAGACAGAAGAAAGTCTCAGTAGCCAAGAGAAGGTTAAGTGAATAATAGCACATCTTTGAAAAGATGTATGTTTCTAATAAAAAGTAAGATTTTTAAGTCTCTAATCAAAACTCTGTTCAGTATGATCACAACAATGTACAAAGTAAAAATCTGTAAGTAGAAAAAGGTGAATAAAAAGAAATATGCCAAACTTAATATCTCTTAATGGAGAGATTATGTTATATTTTAAATTTCAGAAGAGCTGTATATTTTCACTTAAAACACTACATTGGCCATATAATATTTTTACTTTGGATAGTTGCACTTTACAATGTTGTTTTTGAGAAGAAGTTAGACAATGTATACAAAGGGAGTGTTCAAAGTACAAAAGTGGCACAATAGTCATAATTACATTTTTATAATTAATTACAAATGCAATGCTTTTTGTCCTTATTTTGTTGTATTATACTCACTTGAAATTAAGTACAAAAAGCTTAATTATTTCTTCATAAGAGAGTCTCTGAGGACTTAACTCATACAGTTGCACAATTGGTTGTGTAATTGTTTCTGAGGTTGGAGCCAGACTGCTAGGAATAAGCATCCTGGAAGCAGCAAGACTATAAATGTCACCAAGTGAGGTAGATGGGGAAAGAACTCCTAGCTAACTTAAAAACATGTGTTTATGTTTAACATTATAGGGGTATGTTATACATCAAGAAAAATTTCTGCTGAAAAAGGTGAAGGGTAAGAAAACTGTAACTTAAAACAGTAAGCACCAAGTTAATCTACAAAACTCACCTTCATGAAAAACTCATTCCTCAGAAATACCAGGTAATGAGACATACATCTACATGATCATTCACTTTTTTATTAATATGAAACAAACAAAAAAAAAAAGACTGTCCTGTTAAGAGCTAGGAATTCAGAATTGGCTTCTGAAGGAATTGGAATTTACCAATGGAAAGAATGGAGAGGAAGGTAAGAAATAGATAGATAGATAGATAGATAGATAGATAGATAGATAGATGATAGATAGATAGATAGATAGACAGACATAAAGGTATATATATATATATATATATATACACATATCTTTAATGAGATATATATATCTTTAATGGTAATAGCTACAATTACTACATATTTAGCTTATGCCAGAAACTCTTTAGATACATTATTTAATTTCTTACACAAGGTAGACAATGAGGTGATGAATAGGAAAAATAATTTCAAGAAAATTGGAAAATAGCAGTTTAGAAGAATATGAGATAAAATCTCACTAAAAAATGGAAGGAAACAGCAAGGAAGAAGTAGTACTGCATTTTGCCTTGAGGGATTCATCAAAATGATTAGCAAACTACTGTGCATTTCAGCACGGCCTTTGGAAAGTCATGTGGTGCCTCCGCTAGTAAAAGCAATTATTTTATGTTGATATTTAGAACTTTAATAAACACACACTTAAAATGTACCTATATAATGGAACTAATCGCTTTCACAACTATTTACATCTATTTAATGAAAAAGAAAAAAACCACTTTGTTAAAAATGAAGTGTGGCAGACTGTATGTTTCAAAGATGGCTAAAACAATATCTTCTAGCCCATGCTCCTTTTACAATGACACATTGACAATTCTCCCATCCAGAGGTACAGTATAAATACTGTGCTCTTCAAACTGGTGATGTTTCATGGTGTTTTAGAGTGTGGCAGAAGTAACTTCTGAGTCTGGTCATACAAGGTCATACAATTTCTGCTTTATCCACTGAACAATTTTTCTTTTTTTAAATATATTTTATTGATTATGCCATTACAGTTGTCCTATTTCCCCACTTCGTTCCCCTCCACCCTGCACACCCCCTGCCCCATTAGTCCCCCCTTTAGTTTATGCCCGCGTGTCTCAAGTTCTTTAGATCCCATATTTCCCCTACTATTCTTGCCCTCCCCCTATCTGTTTTCTACCTACCATCTACGCTACTTATTTTCTGTATCTTCTCTCCCCTTCTCCTCCTCCCACTCCCATTGCTAACCCTAAATGTGATCTTCATTTCTATGGTTCCTCTCCTGATCTAGCTGTCCTCTTAGTTTGCTTTTGTTTTAGGTGTGGTTGTCAATAACTGTGAGTTTGCTGTCCTTTCACTGTTCATCTTTTTTATCTTCTTTTTCTTAGATAAGTCCCTTTAACATTTCATATAATAAGGGCTTGATGATGATGAACTCCTTGAATTTGATCTTATCTGAGAAGCACTTATCTGCCCTTCCATTCTAAATGAAAGCTTTGCTGGATAATGGTTCTTGAAGACTTTAGCCATGAGTAAGCAGTCCAACTGCCCCGAGGCTACCATGCTGGAAGGAAGTCCAAACTAGTCAAGGCAGTGGGGATGAAAGAGAGGTGTGTAATGAGTCTAACCAAAAGTCACCTCACAGGGCGATCAGATCCTAAATCCTTAACTGTGCACATTGTGGTGCACAGCCATGCCCCAGCATATAACTTCTTTAGCAAAAGCTTTAATTCCCTTAATAAAAGAGAAAAAATTATTTCCCTTTGTTTCCCAGATGCAAGCCCTGTGCATCTATGTTAACACCTTTGAAATGCTTCTTTTTCAGGCCCTGAAGAGAACATATAATACTGTTAACTATCCTATAGTCCAATCCCCATCTGGCATTCTCCCACCTTCATGTAATCTTTACATTCTCTCCTTAATTCCAAGTGGATAAAAGAAACTGCAAAACTGCCATTCTCTTGAGCATTTGAGATTTTGGTTCCTGACATTGTTATCATTTGGGCTCAGAAGAATTCTTCTAAGTATTCTCTACAGGTTTTTTTTTTTTTTTACATTCTTATGTCAACAGGAAGACTGCTTGGAAAGGTCCTGAGATTACATAAGAAAGAGATGTTGAATCAGCGCCCTGGTGCTTCAGCCATTCAGAGTTCCAGATCCAGCCATTCATGTCTGAGTACAACCAAACAAAAGATCACAAGACAGAACCATCTCAGTGAGTCCTTCCTGAATTCCCAGCCCACAAAAACTATAAGATAATAGCATGATTGATGTTCTGAGTCACTAAATTTTGGGGTCTTCTATTATATAGCAATAGTAACTGAAATATTAAATATTTACTATGAAGTAATATCTATATTAGATCATGTTTCTCAAATTGAAATGACTACACAGATTGCCTATGTATCTTGTTACAATGAAGTTTTGTTCAGTAGTTCTGGAGAAGAACTTCAGACTCTGCACATCTACCAAGCTGCCAGGTCATATGTATGCTGCTGGTCATGGTTCATGCTTTGCACAGAAAGACCCTAAATAAGTTGACATGTGAGCATCTTACCTTTATCAGGAAGCATTCTGTCTTATTTTCTTCTTGGCAACAAGACTGAATAGCTCTTTCATAACACATAGACATGGTCAGAATAATGGGTCCATATAAGAATGGTTGCTTTCTGGAAGTTTCATAAATGTACCTATAATTTAACAAACCCAAAGTCATATACTTTGGAGTTTCAGAACACATGCTGACACTGTTTCTTGAAAACTTAGGGTTCATTTTGTTTTGTTGACCTGTAACATCTAGAACATCGTGGTGAAAAACACTATGCTTAAATGCACCAAATGTTTACAACAGGTCACCATGAGGTTAGTCAAACATTCCAAATGCCCGTGAAGTGACCAACAGTACCTCTGGGCCATTGGGGAAAAAAAGTCAGTAATTAAAATTTTTCACTCTTTTTTAAGTAGAAGGTAAAAAGTTCAACAGTCTCAACTGAACTGTAAAGTCAGGATTGTATGTAAGTACAAAGGAATTAAATTTAGAAGCTATTGTTGGATGAAGAGGTGTCTCTCAAGATCATCTAAAAGTTCTTTCTAGACTAGGAAAGTTGCTCGGCTATCTTTTGACTCCAAAACACATGACTTTTCCCCAGCTTTGATATAAATTACAGTTTCCCTACTTGAAAATTAAATAAAGGTCTTGGTTTATAATTATGAGGCAAGTAGTTAGAAAATTATTTTTCTCTTGAATAGTTATAGTCATGTGCACATGAGTTAAAATTAGCATATAGAATAACTCCTTCATCACTGACTTTATTGTAAATGTTCAAAAAGAGGTTACATTCACTTCCTGGGTATTGGTTAGATTTTTAAATCTCTGAATAGTCAACCCAAATCTGTCTCTGTAATTCTCATCCACAGTGGATAGCACTGCAGTAAATATGTAGCCAAGCTGGTAGTTTGTCTACCATCTGGTTGCCCCTAGCATCAGACAGGTTGGAAACCTGCTCAAACCCTATCCCTAAGCAGCTGAGTCCATTTAATTTTTTCTCAGAAGCTCAGTAATTTCTGGAGCAATTTGTCCTTTTATGGGTAAATTAAAAACTTTGCCTCATTCAGCATTGTCACCCTGTCTGCTCATTCATCTTTTGTCTAATGTTTCATAATTAAAATCTGAAGTTAAATTTCCACCATGCTCTTGCCCTCTAGACCCAGCAATCAGATCTTGCCCTTATTCCTAGTGCCTGAGCCTGTCATAGTAGAATGTCCAGAATTAGAGTCCTTAAGAACTGAAACCTTGTATTTCTTTTGTCATTTCTGCCTCTTTGGGTATTGATTTCCTTCTTCTAAACCCCAGCCACTGCTAGCACCCCACTCTCAACATATAGACTTATGCTGTGTTAACTAGAAAATCAAAATATGAGCTTGCCTATAGCATTTGCTATAATGCTCTGCACTCCAAGTGGGAATTATAGAATCAGAGTTCTTGGGTAGAAAACTGATCTTTGACATCTAAAAGTGTTACTTATTCCTAGGTTCCCAATGGCAGACTCTTTGTCCATGCCTGTCAGATATCCTCCCTGATATCTCTTGATGAACATCCCAAATGCCAGTCCCTTGCCTGAACTATGACCTGCTCTCTGTCTCCAGTACTCTCAGTTTATTATGCTTTGCCAACTTGACTGTACATTTCAACATCCTTTGCTACCAGTCTGACTAATCTAACCCTTAAGGATATGGCCCCATTACAGGTCCTAGACATCTTTACGGCTTCATGGTGCAGACATTTCCATACCCTGTGGGGCTCACTGAGATCATAATTGTTATTCAGAGAGAGAAAAATATATTGTAGCTCAAATTTCCACTTCAATTTCATGTAATAAGACACTGTGTTCTCAGAGACTGTTATGTAAGAAAGACCTGTCTTCAAAATTGGGAAATACTCATCTCCAAAGACAATGGCAAGAAGAAATGACTTACCTCTTCCTCACTGTTACTGGGTTCTCTTTGCTCATCTCACTGATCTGCTCAGAATTTGGAATTTGGAAGGTGTCCCTGTAACATGCATCATCTTTTTTACTTAATAGGAAGCACTTGGGTCTTGCTGTGCTATTTGTCTTGCAACAGTCAGAAGGAACATGTTTGTCAGCCATTCCTTGGTTATTACAAATGTGCTCTAAGAAGGTAGTCATCTGCAGGAGGAAATGATAACTGAAAGGGGAAGGCTGTGTGCTCCGCGTTCCCAACCCCAGGAAAGGCAAATAGTTATTATTTTTTTAGAAAAGTCAACTGAGTGTGGAATGTTGCATTTTGTATCCGATAGTCCTCGGACATAGTTATTTTGAGCAAAAACCTCTTAGGTTTTAAAGTCTAAATTCTTACATGTTGAACATTGACCAAATAAAATTAATCATTCTCTCTTTTCCTATGTAATTGCTTCACTTTCATACACTTCATAGGTATTAAAATAAACACAAACTAGAATGACCAGGGTCTAAAGTAATCAAGGTATTTTAATGAGAATTATCTACCAATAAATAGATAGTAGTCTGTGTTCCATGGTTCCCAATTGTTTTTGGTTTTGTTTCCATGGCAACTTGTTTTAAGACTTGAACTCCGAAGCGACGTGTGTTCATTGTCAAGTTTTCAAGTGGAAATGTAATAATTCAGTTCATTTTCAAATATCTTTGGACAGCCATAAGTGTGCAGGATGTTGTAAACTTCAAATGGCATGTTTTCAGATTTGGGAGATAAGGCCATAAAACCTTAATCTTTTGAAATAAAAATAAGAAGAAATCACTATAAAATAAGTGTGACTAGCCACTGATAGAAGTGTTTCATTTAAAATTTGTTTCTAGTAAGTCTAATGATTTTTATGTAACTAAAGAGTATGATAAAAGGTAGGTTTTAGCCCCATAAAGATGGAGTAAAATATTACAAATAAAGAAGAAAACTACTCATTTGTATTTTAAATTGTTTGGCATGAGAGTAATTGATCAAGTAGGCATGTAGATAGAATGTGTTAGTGCTTATTAAGAATTTGCTGATCATAAGATAGACATACGTTATGAGACAATAACAATGGCTGAGCTTGTCTAGTGACTGGAGAGAGAGCCCATAATAATATTCACTTTTTTCTTCTTTTACATATTCTCTGAGAAACTTTTTAAATACTTCAATTTCCCAGTAACCTTTATACAAGGATGTCAGACAATAGTGTTTCAGTAACCGAAACAGAGCAACCAACTTAAGAAACTGACATTCTAGACTATAATCATTCCCTTGAATGTTTGGTTCAAAGAGTGCCAGAAATGAACTGATAAACTGTAAGTTTATAAACATGTAAAGAGTATATCTCGAGTATGAATTGTACATAATGCTGCCTCACAATCTCCTACCAGTTTATTCAACGAGCCCTCCCTATAACAACACCTTTGGTTGCAATTCAGTCTTTGAAAAAATGAGAGAGAGAGAGAGGCAGAACATGATTCACATACCAGCTGGGGAGAGCATTCTGAAGGTGACTCATGTAGCTTGAGGCTCTTGCACTTCTCCACAAAACCTAGCAACTCTTTAACTATGGTCTGTACTTCTTCATAAGTGGATTTCTGAAGAAAATGAGCAACCATAATGCTAACTCTGAAACATGGCACTGTGAGTGTTAAAGACAGAATTGAACCGCTTTGCTCTATCATTCTTATTCTATTATTATCCCACTTTCCTCCCCACAAATAATTAATGTGATTTTAAGTTTCAGAAAAGAATACTGATAATAGAACTCACATGTCTCTTAAGTTATCCTCCAGATAATTCTGGCTACTAGCGTGCTATATGGCTGAAAAAAGAAAAAAATACTTTATATGCAGAAGAGGAAATTTTCCAAATTGAAATCCCCCTTTAAAATTCTGAAATCTATATTTATGTACCCATATATTTCCAGATATGTTTTAATTACCATAAATTAGAAAAATTACCAAAATATATCTTATTTATATTTAAAGTGTATCCTGTGAATGATTTACTTCTTTCCAAATATATTATGTAATTGAAACCTATCATTGCCACACAAGTAAGTTACATGCACTTATGTTGACACTTTTGAATTAATTAAACTTGCTGATCAGGTTATTTAACTCTTCACATTAGGTTAGATACCACGTTGAAAAAATATTAAGAAAATTAGAGTTTGATTAATTTGACAAAAGCAGTATCTCAGCTCGGATTTGTTCATCACCTGCATCTTCTTCATCTCCTGTACTCACCATGTTCACATACATGTTATCTACTGAAAACAATATCTTCCTTCTTGTATTAATAGCTTCTAAAATGCTTAGCAGCTATCTATTAAATAAAGAAACCATTATTATTTGCTATATTAAAGCCAGGGGAAGGCTTTAGAGGCAGCTATTCTGAGTTCATCTTTGAGCTCTGATGCTTAAAGTGGTCTTGGAAAAGTAACTTAAGCTCTTAGAGTTTCATTTCTCTACCTGTGAAATGTAAGTAAGTTGTATTACAATGGATGGTTGTTCACATTAAATGAAATCACATGTGTGATGCACTGATCACAGTGTCTGGTTCATAATAGATACTAAATAATGTAGCTCTAGTATTATTCCTGATATGACAAACACTTTTGTTTTATCTAAAACCAGTTATCCAATTTTAAATATAAGTTTTAGATGCAACATTTTCTCACCTACACAGAAATTAAGGCTGGAGTGAGCTCTTCCTGTCGTTGTCTCAATATATTAGCTCTCTTTCTTTATTCATTCCACAAGATAATGTCCAGCAATTTTCAATGACCCTGTTGTCAGTGATGCACACTGAGAAAAGTAAGTCTTCCAAATATGCACTGCAGTAGTCATTACCTCTTACTCCTGGCACTCGGAATGTGTAGACTGTAAATAGGATTTCCTACCTGCATCTAGGAAACTTCTCAGAAGAGTTTGACATTGAACATAGCTGAACAAAACCAGAAGAGACATGAGTCTCACAGCCTTCATTATTTCAGATGAAGTTTTATAGAAGGTGTTCTACCATTTGAAAGAACTGAAGAATCCTTTTATAGTCTTTTTAAGTGATTAATATTAATAATTAAACTTTTTCTGGTGAATATTCTTTTCAGGCCACTACAAACCTAATCAAATTGAAGAATTCACAGCAATGAAGAAATGTTGATGAATAGCCATTCATTAATGAATACTGGATTTTAAAATGAATCACATCGATATACTTGTTTTCTCAAGATTACACCATATAGGCCTTGTAATGAAAGAATCAATAAATGCTTTTGGTAAATAGCTCATTTCCTGGAAGTGTCTGTTTGACATGTACAAAGTTCTAAAGGGGCAGGAGACAAGACAAACGTGTACTACCCCAAATTCAAATAAATGATTAAGTCTCCAGTTCCAGTACCAGGCATATATTCAAGCCCCTGGAAAGAGTTGGGAGCACAGGCTTTGGGAGAAAACCTAAGAGAATGGATTGCATTTAATGAGTGCTTACTGTGAATCTGGCACTTTATATGACTATACAAGAGCAGTAGTCTTTTTCTTGAATAAATAATTAAAACTCAGGGTCACATTATTTGCTTGTGGGCTCACAGGTAGAAATTGAGGTTTGTCTAACTTCGGATCCTATCCTAGCCAAGAACTAGTATCAGAAGCTGAGGTCCCAACATTCCTCAGCTCCTGTCTGCTTTGCCTGTCATTGAGTTCTTGGGTCTAAAGCAGGAAACTATTGATTCCATAAAGAATCTAAAATAAATATGAGGTCCAAACATTTTGGAAATGGGAGGTCACTGGGTACTACTTTAACCATTTCTGTCCTCAGTTTCCTCACTTACAGACAGAGGGTTGGACCAGGTCATCTCTCAGGCCGGCAGTCCCCTACCTGATTCTGTGACCCACATATTCTCAGTTCTGGTCTTCTAGGCAAAAAAGCATCACAAGTAAAAGAGGTATGTTTGCCTGAAAAACAACAAGACTGTTATTATTTAAATTTGGGACACACTGATTAATGTAAAGAGTAGGATGGCCACCTGTGATAGAAAGCCAGGGTTGACAAAAATCACCCTTGGCAGGGTTTCATCATGCTTCTCAGGTCCTCAGAACATCCTAATTTTCACCATCCTTTCTGCCATTCCCTTGTGCATCCTTAGAGCCATTCCCTTGAGATCTTTCTCTAAACCCAGGGGAACTGTCAGAAATGGACCTCCTACTCTAGGGATGGCAAATTCTTTGGGTGAGTGCTGTCACTGTCACCCACTGCAGACATTACTAGTTGATGACTGCACTCTTTGTCTCTGAATCAAGACTCAGCCTCAAAGTCATTCACAGAGCAGTGCCACAGGACAGCCACTATTAATTGATTGGAGTTGGCACTTAAGGGGAAAAACACTGTTATATGTGTGCTACATTAATTCCCCTTTTTAAAAAATTGGGTGAAATTAACTCTCCAGGGGAACCGTCCTCTCAGGGTAAAACTCTTGTACACTTAGTAAGATGTTAAGTCCTTAGTGCCTGATGGTGGAACTTCAGACCAGAGGAAAAACAAGTAGTGGGGATCATTTAAGCAAAGATGGAGAATGAGTTTTGTGACAGGACTCAAAAGACAGCAGAGAATTCACTCTCTAAGACAATAAGATTTTCATGCTGACCTTTAGTATAAAAAAATAGATGGTACACAAATACAAACACACTGATGATTTTTGAAAAATATTATTTGTACCACAAACTTTAGAAAAATCACAAATAGATTTCTAGACCCCACCCAAATCTTGGCTGCAGACTGCTCACACACTCATTAGCCCTGACACTCATTAGCACACCACAAGGCTTATTGCTTTTATAAGCATCTCTGGCACTAGAAAATTCTTCCTGCATCAATTCTATGTATGTTTTATTTATTGGCATGAGCTCCATCTGAGCAATACAGAAGAAGTTGTTCTGAATTCTCCTTCTCCGTGCAAAATTCTCTCCCCCCTCATATTGCAGTGATTAATATTAATTTGTTCGCTGGCACATCAGAGAGAGTTGTATGGCACTTTCTTCTGTGAAAGTCTTATGGCGGTAACAGGTTCCTGGGGTTCAGGTTGCATAGCTACCGCTGTTAACATAGTATTGGCACAGAGTAGGATCCACTGTTAGATGCAAAATTGAATTAGCTAATTCTGCTCTGTTTCACTTCTGTTTGCTGAACTTACATTTTATTATTTAAGCAAAACGCTCTTCCTTGTTATCCTCATTAGTAAAGGAGAGTACTTAGAAAAATGGTAAAAGGACAAAAATAGCTTCATGAAATACATACCTATTATCTGCTGGCCATTGTGTTGGTTATGTTATAGTATAGTAATTTTATATATTTCTGTGAAGCGTTTATGACATGGACATTATTTTCCCGTCCTACACAAAGAAATGGAGGTCTTAGGTTGTTGGGAACTGGTCTGAAACCATAGGGCAGGTTAACGGCAGTAGGGTTTTGAAACGCCCCACCCACTTCTCACCCTGGTTCTTCAGCTTAGACTGAGAGACTGTGCAGGGCGCACCCACAGCGGGGGTCCTTTTTCACCCCCGCACCTCTGACATATAACACTGCTTATTTAGGACCCTTCTTCCCTGCCCCACAAGATGCAAGAACCATGTCTAAATGGCTCACATTTGTATCCACAATACCTGACACATGATAACAGTATAATAACTGTTTGTTGAATAAATAAGAATCCCCAAAATTGTGCCCTAAATGTTATTCCAAAAGAACTCTTTGAATATTCTCAAGTGTCATTTATTAAGTGATCATCTTCAATTTCAGACATTGAAAGACTAACAGCCTTAAAAGTTTAGAGACTGATAAGGACAATCAGGCCTTCAGCCTATGAACAACCTTCATTTCCCAGTTGCCCAGTTGCTACCACTCCCTCTCCTTAGACACCACTACCAAGCACTTACAGCTCCAACGTAACAGCAATTTTGGCTTCAGATGGAGAAAGAGAAGGGTCATTGTCCTCTTCCTTCTCTCCACATAACAGATTTTATAAGGCACACAGCATGGCCATACCTGAGAGGTAGTGTGTACAGGGGCTAAGAATATTCTTCTGGAATTAGAGGACTTAAATCTTGGTTCTGTCAACTACTAGTCATATGACCCTGACAAATTAGCTTATCTCCCCAAGCCTCAGATCCCCTGTTTGTAAAGTGGGGCTAGAAATGATGTCTACTTCATGGAGTTATTAGGATTAAATGAGATAATGCAAGAAGAGTACCCAGGACAGTGTTGGGTGCTGGACAACATTCAGTGCTCACTGGTGATGGTGGTAGTAGCAACATCAGCAGCAATGCTGGGCGCCCTCAACTTCCCTTTTCCTTCCCAGTAGCAGCCAGAACAGGATCTGTGAGGATTCTGCCCACACAATTGCTATTTTGAGTCCTGCCTGCCATGGAGATTTAGTCGGTGAGCCAGAGATGCTGATGGACTAAATAAATCATGATTGTTTAATTTTGTTATCAGTTCGACGCATGAAATCAGTCTTTGAGAATTAGCTTTACAATTTTATTGTTTATTGCTTGCTGCAATAACATGATTTCTGGCAAAGGTTCCAGTAGAATCTTTTTACTGTGTTTGTCTCAGAAAATGAAATTCACCACAGGACAGTTGGAAGTAGGTAAGTGGGTCTTTTTCTTTTTTCTTCACAACCTGGGAAGAAAAAAAATAGTATCTTATGCAGCAAAAAAAAAATTGTATGTTATGTAAAATATTATAACTGGGGTGATGAAAAGTCATGTTTATAAAAAAATAGTTCATGATCCTGGCTGGTGTGACTCAGTAGATTGACCATAGACCTGCTAACCTAAAAGTCACTGGTTTGATTCCCAGTCAGCGCACATACCTGGGTTGTGTGCCAAGTCCCCAGTAGGGGGTGTGTGAGAGTCAACCACACATTGATGTTTATCTTCCTCTCTTTCTCCTTTCTTTCCCCTCTCTCTAAAAATAAATAAATAAAATCTTTAAAAAATAGTTCATGGTAACTATGTTTTGCCACTTGTTAATACAAACCTACTCTGTCTGGTGGTCCAGGTCTCTCTTCCCAGGCATTGAACATCATTGCTATATCTATGCAACATTTTGTTCCTAAAGTTTGTGCATGAGTCTTAACTAAACTGCAAAAGAGAGGGCATCCTTTACATCTCTTTTTGAAATCACAAACATTGCTTTTTGTATATGTCAATGCTGGAGCGAAACATCTGGAACAGGTTTACTGAGGTGTGTCTGTCATCCCAAGCCTTCCTCTGTCTGTCAGCATTCACACATTCGATGCTTCCCCTTTCTGGTCCAGAGGGCTGAGTGCAATGGCTGAGAGGCAGAGCTGTGCATGTCTTTGGGCTATTTAGAAAACTGCTTGAACAGTAAGAAGTGCTGGCTGAAAGGCCACAGTGCCAGCCCATAAGGAGTGGTAGAGGCTCAGAAAAACATGACAGGACCAGTATCGGGGTCTGTTAGGTACAAGGTGTAGGGCATGAACTAGAAATAGACATTGAAGTGTGAGAGGGGAGAAGCCAGGGCAACCAAGGAACTATAAGTCCACTTGGCATTTGATTGAGATAGAAAGTATTACCTTTGGCAGTTTTTACTTTATGTTTTTCAAGAAACCAGGCTTTTGGCTGCCAGTCCTGGAACCTGAGAGGGAAAATTTTAAATAAATAAATGACATAACATATAGGAATTAAATTTTAAGATATTACTTAAATTTAGAGAAGTCTGTTGCCTTGACTTTTGGAAAGAAAAATTAAACACTCATATATGGTACAGGGAGACAGTGAACATGCTTTCTTCGAGTGAAGAACACCCTCACTGAGTGTGTTCAGACACTCTCAGCCTTTTATGAACTGCCAATGAATTTATCCCTCCCTTTACATGGCTTGAGGTGCACAGTCACTCAGGTAAATGGTAGATATTATAATGCCTCTAAATATTTTACATTAAAAAATATGTTTAAGAACTAATGATTTGTTCCAAAAAAAATTCTCACAGACTAGGCACTCAGTTGGAAAAGTAGAGAGGTTGAGACCAGTGTGAAAGCCATGTGTGAGTGTGCCAGAAGGATCGAGTGTGCACAAAGCACGTGTGTGTCACAGGTTTTCCTGACATCATTTCTTATACCATGTCGTCACCAAGGAGGCAGTGCCAAAACTGTATTAGAGATGGGCTACCTATTAGCTTTTGGCAACTATGCTCTCAAACATTAGCCTACAGACATTGTGGGGAGAAACAGGAGCTTATGGGGAGCTCTGTTGTATTTGTTTGACCAGATGTGCCAGTAGAATTTCAGTGGAAAAGAATAGAACTACCTCTTCATTAAAGCAGGCTTGGGGCCCCTCTGCTTGGCAGCACTTGTCCACAAGGTTAGTGAAATCCGTAAGCAGCGACCGCAGCGCCTCATCTGTAAGTTCAGGCTTCAGCTTCACTAAGTTGACCAGAAACCTGTGGCCCAAAGATGTCAGTGAGAATTCATTTGAGATTTCTTTCTTAAGCTCTTTTCCTCCCAAATGCTTGTCACAGTACCATATAGCCTGGGGAGGTGGGGGTTGTCTCATTTGAGTGAGTATAAAAAGTTAAAATATTCCACTTTTGAAAGGGTCTCCTGCAAGAAAAAAGACGGGGGTTCTCCTGGAATTCTCCTATTAAACTTATAGGACAGATTGCCATGGTAACATTCTTTACAGGGTTATATAACTACAGGCAAGATAGTATAAAATGTGAACATATATTAGGTCTTCATTATCACACTGTTGTAGAATATGTGACTACATTTGGTCCTTCTAGAAAATTTATTTACACTCTACTTTATACAGGCATTGCCTAAAACTAAGAAATTGGTCTTATTTCTTGAAATTTATAATACTACCTAAGAAAAGAAAAATAAATTTCCTGTCTTTTTTGGGCCCCTTCTTTTTTCAAACACTAAGTGAGATTCTCAGGGCAAACATCTAGGACATTCCTTCAAGAAAATCTGATTATTATAATCTTATCTATGAGCTTTTCTGCTAGCTACCCTAACTCACCTTTCCAAATCATGGTCTACTGGACACCCCCACACCCTTCCCCAAGGAAAAGTGTAGCTAGGTTTTGATGTATAAACAAAGCAATTAATATGCTCTGGTGTTTTTGTTTGTTTCTTTGTTTGTTTTTTTGTGTTAGAGAGACCAGACAATTTGATGGAAGGAATAGGACTGTGACACCAAAATCAGGTATCCATCACAATAAACCTTCCAGTCAATACACGGTGTGTCTTCAGGTTAAACAAAAAGATGAATGGAAGAGAATGTCAGTACCTGTCTTTCTTTCTCTGGAGCTCCTCGTTATGAGCCTGACACAAGTCTGTGTCAAAGGCAAATAAACCTTGGGAGGCAGATGGAGGCACAGAGGTTTTATCGGCTCCCAAGGCCTCAAAGCAGGGCCTTCGGAAGGCAAAGCTGGCCTTACAGCAGTGATCCACAGCGGGGTTGATGGTTCGGTTTTCATTTACTCCACATATCTCTCCAACAACTAAATCTGCCTGTACCAATGAAAGTTGAAACTCAGATAGGCTTTAAAATGGGAATGGAACTTTGAAATATGGTTAGATGAATAGATTGCTCTAAGGTCACTGCTAACTTTACTTAGAAAAAAACATGCACTCCTAACACAACACTACGTACAAAGAGAAGTAGAAGCTGCGGGTTTTTTGTTGCATTGCATAAAACAAACTTTCAAGCCATACCAATTTAAATGCCTAGAGGTTAATTTCTTGTTATTACATATACAAATTTGTATTTTTTCACTGCAAACAGGTAAATGAAAGTGGCAACCAAACACTATGGCTCTTAGATTGATTCCTTCTCTGGGGAATCTCCCAGGGCAATGTTCACCCCAGCTCTAAAGAAATACCCTCGACTTGCAGTGGGGTGGGAAGCAGCAAGTCCCTTACAGACCAGGTGAGGCAAGGGCAAGAATTTATAATGTTACTTAAATTTATCAAGTTTCCCATATCATTCTGAAACACTATTATGATTCTTAAAACATTTACCCTAACAAAATCACTTCTAATATAAATCAGAAGTAAGGAAGGCGATTTGGAGAGCCCCAAGAAAATATTTAAGACATTCTATTTTGCTTCTTAAGGTTTTGATTCAGTGAGCCAAAAAGAAAACTTTATATTCCTTGCTTAACAATATTGAAAACAATAAAAAAGGAAGACAGATAACTGCTATAAATCAATAAGAATGTGTGTGTGTTTGTGTGTGTGTATGAGGTACATCATTCATGCTCACCAAGTTATCGACGCAGGCAAACTCTTCACTCAGTGTGCAGCAGGTGGTCAAAGCTGTCACCATTTCCTCTCCAAGGAAAGTCACTTCATCAGTGGATAGCTGAGGGGCTATCTTCGTGAATTTGATCAAGTAGCTGAAAGGACATTTGTCTATTTGTTTCTGAATGAAGCTGACACCCTCGACCCTTCAAGGCTATGAACAATCAATGTAAGGACAATGTGAACCTCAGCTTTCTCATAAAAAGGGAGAGAACTGTCTCTTCACGCCTTGATTTCCTGCACCTTGCCTGCTAGATATCTGTATTTTGGCTTCTCTCTAATTTCATAGTTATCTCACAAACTCCTAGATTTGCCCATCCTATTTTACCTTTGAGATTAGGAGCACCTTGGCAGCAAATACCTTGGCTAGTGTGTAAAATTCTGCTTGAAATAGTTAACAAATATTTTAAAGAAAAAATTTAATAAATACATGTTGGAAAAAGATAATCTGAAATGAAGGAAACTGAGATCTTTAATGGGCTGAGTGACTTCTAAGCAAACAGCAGGTAGCGAAATCATATTTTTTACAGCTCTATTAGTGATTTTATTTTTCCTTATTAAAACAAATTTTTTATCATTTTGTGTTGTTATTCTATAATAGTTGTCCCAATTGTTCTTCCTGTGTCCTACTCCACCCATCCCACCCCCTGCTCCCACAATCAATTCCCACCCTGTTGTCCATGACCAAGAGTCATTCATACATGTTCTTTGTCTAGTTCTTTGTCTTCCCCTTCTTTCCCATTATTCCCCTCCCCCCTTCCTTCTGGACACTTTCAGTCTGTTCCATGTTTCCATGCCTGTGGTTCTATTTTGTTCATTAGTTTATCTTGCTCATTAGATTCCTCTTAGAGGTGAGATCATATGGTGTTTGTCTTTCACCAACTGGCTTCATTCCACATTTTTCTTATGCACCTCTGCGTTCATAGAGGCACTATTTACAATAGCCAAGTGCTGGAATCAGCCTAAGTGCACATCAGAAAATGAGTGGATCAAAAATCTGTGGTATATTTACACGATGGAATACTATGCTTCAGAAAGAAAGAAAAAACTACTACCATTTGTGACAACATGGATGGAAGTGGAGTATATTATGCTAAAGAAGTCATATTTTTAAGTCATGTTTTATTTCATTTTGATTTGAAGATGTTTGGTTTCAACACACACTACATTAGTATGGTAATTAATTAAGGAAATCCAGAATAAACTGCATATTATTCATGAATGCTCACTAAAAAAATAAACATTCAAGTGTTAAGTAAATCCAGAATTACTTTGATAAACTCAGTAAGATGGGCTTAAATCCTGGACAAATCGATTTTTACTTGGGAAACTGTAACAACCAAAAGTTTGCTTTACTCAACCCCCACACTCAATGGGGAAGAATCCAGAAATTCTGGGTTGAGAGTGAGAAAGACAAACCCAAATAGAAACTAAAACATTGTACAATCAGTTTGTCCAGGATCCTGTATTTTTTCATTTCTAGCCTCCTTTCTGTCAAAGGCTTAATATGACAGCTCAAAGTACAGTCTTGACTTTGTGGTTTTATTCTTTCCCAGAGTTTATGAATTCATTGTAACTGAAAGGCTGAGCTGAAATAGTAACACTTGGTGGCTCTCTGAGTTTCTTCCCATTCACAAGTGTTAACCTAACTGTGCAGACAACTTACTGGTATTTCAAGTCGTCCTCCCCCAACCTCCGGAAATGTTCACATTCCCTTTGTACTGTCTGGAGGCTTTTCTCAGTTGTCTCATTGAATTTGCTTTCCTGAAAATAAGAACAATCATGTTTATGAATGTTTCATCCAAAATTTAATCACATGCTTCACATCGACTTGTCAAATAGCCTTCTATTTATATAATATTTTTAAACTATCATTACCACACATTGCTCACTAAACAGGGTATTTTTCTTCATACATGTGTGTAAAAAATGGACTTTTACCAATTACGATTATAGTTAGGTGTGTTTTTTGCTTAAATATAAAAGTCCACATTTTTCATCATCATTATTTTGTACTTTTGGGATGCAGCTTTCCAGTTTATAAAGTATAGTTCAAATCTTATGGGGATAATGATCTCACTGAGAAGTGGCCAGAGCAGCTGTTTTTCTCCCTTTATACATAAAGGAAACCAGTCCTGTGAATTAGTGAGTTGCCTAGAATGACCCAGTTGGTAACTATAGCTGTAGACTCTTTTAAATCCTATTTATCTTTATTTTACACTTTCTTTTCACTATTTAGAATTGGAAATTAAAACTTTCAATAGCTGTCTTCAAATATTTGACAAACTCTCTCTCGAGACATAAAATTAGACACTGAATGAACGCCAGATAGAAAATTACACACCATTGAATGGATGTTGTGAGACAAATTGTATCTCCATGTTAAAAAAAATGATGGCAGTGTGATTCATTTAAGGATCAGAAAAAGACCTCCTCATTCCGGATGGTGGGGGAGTAGTACCAAAATCCTGTCTTCTTACTTCATTGCTCAACCGTGAATGGGGGGTAAACTGGCTTTTATGGCTAGTGGAGGATATTATTTAAATAAATCAAAAGTAACACGTACCAAATGAATGAAAAACAAATCAGAAATGTCAAATAATTTCTATAATATATAGGAATTCATATAAATTGATATTAAAACACTAATTTCAATAGGAAAATGGGTAACAGACATGAATAAATTATAGAAAACATAAATACTATAGTTAAAATTATATGAGAAACACTCGATTTCATTTAAAAATTTAAATAAATGTATGCTTAAAACACTCCATTTTTTACATATAAATCTAGTAAAGATAATTTCCATGTGCAATGTTTGGTGAAGGTGAATATAAAATGAGCGTTTTCAAGCTTTGTTGTAGGCCTATATGCTGGTAAAAACTTTCTGGAAATTAACTAGGCCATCTGTATTAATTTTTTATAAAGTCTATACTTTGACCTAACAATTTCCCTTGTAACAACTTGTCTTACAAATAATTAATAATAAAAAGGATTAGTCAGAGAACATATATGCATAACCCACAGGCACAGACAACAGCGTGGTGATGGACAGAGGCGGAGGGTGTGGGGGCTGCGTGGAGGCTGGCAAAGACGGGGTCGGGGGAATGAGGACTTTTGTAACAGTGTCCACAATAAATACAAAATATAAATATAAATAAATATTAATAAAAAGGAGTGAAGAGATATTTCAGGGCCATCATAAAATTAAAAACGACCTAACTAAATACCTAAAATGCCCAACAAAGCAGGAAAGAAGCCACATAAATTATGATAATGGTATGCTACCATTTAAAATATAAAGTACATTTTGATGTCCATTTAATGACATAATGTTTTCTATAACACTAAATAAAAAACATTTCCAAAAATTTCTTAAGAACTAGTATTCCAGTCTTATTTTAAACAAATACATATACAGGCTGTGGGAAAAGTAGGTTGAAAGTTATGAGTACACAAAACACAGAGTTTATTTTTGTGTTATTATCTATATAAACAACTGTGCACTTGCTTTTGTCCCTCCCTGTATATGGATATTTTTATTAAAAAGATAAAAGAAAATGTTAATTAGAGCTATTTCTTGGTGACAGAAAACTTATTTTTTTCTTTGTAACTTTTGGCACTTTTCTAATCATCATTAATAATCATCTATAAACTTTACAATCATAAAATTTTCCAATATGGCTCAATAAAATACAGAGTACATAAATAAAAATAAAAATGTAAACTATTTAATGAGAGGAATTTTTGCATCAACAACACAGGATTAGTCGTTCAAAACATTATGTATAAACAAAACTAATGATTTTGGTCTTTTCCATGGTCAGCTTGCACTGAATTTAAAGTAGACTCAAATTGGCCAATAACATATTCTACACCCCAGACTAAAGTAAAACTTTGACGTCAATTTTTTAGTATTTGTTGTTCTGAGTTGTTCATCTCTCTGCTGGAACCTACCGCGTTACGGTAGCAGTCTGGGGGGTTTTCCGCATTGCAGCACTCTTCCAGGAGCTCATTGTACACGCTAGCAATTCTTAGGAGCTGTGGGGTAGACAGTTCCAGATGTCTCCTCGAGTATTCATAAAGAAATCTGTGATATGTAAAATACTGTGTGTATTAGAATGTAGAGAAAGCAAAACACCAAATCCTGCTATCTTTGAGCGTAGTCAAATCTAATACTGAGTATGTTCTCAAATGATGTTCCTTCACTGGTCAGGCAGCGGGTGATTCAGAGCGCAGTTTGACAACAGGCGTTCATTTTACCTAGATGTCCATTCTCATTCTCTCTCTCTCTTTCTCTCTTTCTCTCACTCGCTCTCTCTCCCTCTTTCTCTCTCTGTTGTTCTTTCTAAAAGTTTATTTACTTCCATTACCATTTAGTCCCCTTATACTCCCCTCCACCCCACCCCCTCGCAATCATCACTGTTGTCCATGTCCATGAGTCCTTTTTCCTTTTTTCTCAATCCCTACCCTCCCCCCCCCTTAGTTGTCATCCTGCTCGCTATGAATCTGTCTTTATTTTGCTTCCTAGTTCAGTTTGTTCATTAGATTCCATGCACAAATCAAATCATATGGTACTTGTCTTTCTCTGACTGGCTTATTTCACTTAGAATAATGTTCTCCATGTTCAACCATACTATCACAAAAGGAAAAAATTCTCTTTCTTAAATAGCAGAGTAGTATTCCACTGTTTAAATATACCATAGTTGTTTTATCCACTCATCTATTGATGGACACTTGGGATGCTTTCGTTTCTTGGTTATTGTAAATAATACTGCAATGAACATAGGGGTACTTATTATTTTTGAATTAGTCTCAGAAGTGGGATCACTTCTGGGTCTAAAAGCAGATTTATTTTTAATTTTTTGAGGTACCTACTGCTATCCACAGTGGCTTCACCAATCTGCATTCCTGCCAACAGTGCAAAAGGGGTCCCCTTTCCCCACATCCTCACCAGCACTTGTTGTTTGTTGATTTTCTGATGGTAGCCATTCTGACAGATGTGAGGTGGTATCTCCTTGTGGTTTTAATTTGCATTTCCCTGATAATTAGTGACGTCGAGCATCTTTCATATGTCTGTTGGCCATCTGTGTGTCCTCTTTGGAGAAGTGTCTATTCAGGTGGTCCTTTGCCCATTTTTAAATTGGATTATTTGGTTCTGTTTTTTTGGGGGGTGGCTTGTTTTGGGGTTTTGGGGTTGAATTTTATAAGCTCTTTATAAATTTTGGATACTAACCCATTTTCTCATTCTGTGGGTTGTCTTTTTATTTTGTTGATGTTTTCCCTTGCTGTGCAAAAACTTTTTAGTTTAATGTGGTCCCATGTGTTTATTTTTTATTTTGTTTCCCTTGTCTGGGGAGATATAGCCAATAAAATATTGCTATAAGCAATGTCTGAGATTTCTCTGCCTATGTTTTCTTCTATGATTTTTATGGTTTGGGGTCTAACATTTAAGTTTATATAATGTTTTAAACTAACAATCCTTTTACTTGGAGGATAGAATTGCTAGATTTATTTGGAATTAATTATTCTGTTGGCAGTAAAGGATTTATCAGGCTGATGCAGCAGTAACTTAGGGTGGACCAGCTGTACCCTCTATACTATCTCATTTGCATTTACTGAGTCCTCCAGATAAGCACTATTTTATAGCTGAGGATACTGCGTCTCTGACCAGTTCGGCACCTTGCTATTAGTGGAAGTCTAGAATTTGAACCTAGGTTCCACGCGATGCCTACTTCATTCTTTTTAAAACTACAAGACTCTCTTCTTAAGACTCTTCTCAAGAGAGGCATATCTTCTCTAAATATCTCAGCTGCATATTTATAATTCTCTTCATAAAAGAATCTTATCCACTTAAAATAAATTAAAATGGCCTTCCATGTTTTGTGAGAGCAATATTTCAGGAGAATTTCTGAAGTCCAGTGAACCCTTTTTAACTCTTTTGTTTGGCAGCCTTTGACTGTATTAATTAATCTTGGTTTTACTAACCTTATCTCTCCTGCTTCTTTATCTGCCTTCTCAATCCCATTTTGGGATATATTCCCATGTACAAAAGCAGAGGTAATTAGTCTTCAGAGAATGAAGGACTGCTCTTAATATCTGACCTGAGTCATGGACCTTTCCCCAAGAATAAAATTATACCTAAAAACACGCCACCAAAGTGTTGCACACAAAACTCCCTGGAAGTCTACCCTTGCTTGGTTGATCCTTTGAGGTCCTGTGTCAAACATTCACATCCAGAAAGACTGCAACTTAAAACTCTGTTTCTGACTCAACATGCTCATTGTTGCTCTATCATTTCCCCCACATTTCCAATACTACTTATGATATAATAGTGATGACAATGATGATAAAAGTTGCTTTCATTTAGTAAGCACATGTGCCAGGCTCAAGTGAAACACATTACATCTATCAATCGTTTACTTTAATTTCACTTTGAACCATGACTTCTCAGAAGCAATAGATCACAGTGATTATAAGAACAGGAGTCTGGAGCCAGACTGCTTGCCTCTGAACCTGGGCTCTATCATATATTTATTAGCTATATCACTTTGGAGCTTAACCTCTGTGCTTCAGTTTTCCTGCTTGTAAAATGAGAACAATAAAAGTGTGCTAATCTCAAAGAGGGGTTGTTTTTAAAATTAAATTTGTTAGTAAGCGAGAAGCACTTAACATTTGGTAAGTATTCATTAACCCTCTCTTCAGTCTAGGCACCCTTCCAGAGCTCGAGGTTGTCATGTAAAATGGTCTCATGACAGTCCCAACTAGTTATTCCACAGGGACTGCAAAGTCAGTGTGCATAGGTCCAAACACACTGTCCTACCCCCCAAAGCTGCTCCTGTACCCGTGCTTCCCATCTCATTGAATCTGATAACTACTTACCAACCACCTAAGCCCCAAACTGGGATTCATTCCAGAAGTTTCTAAAAAACAAAAGTGATTTTGTCCTTCCTTATTCTTCATTGAGAACCCTTCAGTGGCACCTTGTTACTTAGCACGGCTGGGCGATCTGGCCCCTCTTCCCTCTGCCTGCCCGCTGCTCACCACAGGTACCCTCCTCGCAGCCACACACACACACCAGGTGGGTTTATACTTCGATCCAAGCTCTACCCCGTGTCTAGATTACCAAAATTTCCTCGAGAACTTCCTCCTGCCCAAACCTTTCTAGAGACCCCAGGTAGAATTGCCCACTCCCCTCTCTGCCCTCACATTACTTAGCATATAGTGTTATTGGAAATAAAAGAACATTTCCTGCACTCAGTTATATTTCTGTTTCTTCTCACCTTCCACTTCTTATGACGAAAGCGTACTGGGGATAGAAACCCTGTCTAACCTATTAAAGTTCCTGGATTATACTTCATTATCAATAAACTTGGAATGAATGGATGAATACTCCATGAATTTTATGTGTGATGAATTAAAGTACCGAAAAGTTAGCTTGTCCCAGTGACTCAACCAGGACCCAATCTTGTCCCTTTGGTTCCAAGTCTACTACCTTCCCCATGAACAGCTAGAGGGTGGCACAGCATGACAGTCAAGCCTACAATTTCTTAGGTCAGAACTTTTGGGGTCAAATCCTTACTCTGTCATTTTTTTTTAGCTCTGAACTTTGAGTAAATTACTTAGTTTCTCTGTACCTCAATTTCTTCATCTGAAAAACTGGGGGAAATCATTTTGTACATGACATTGTAAAAGTTGAAATAGATCATCTATATAAAATGCTTAGCCCATTGTCTGGCACATGTCAAGAATTCAATAAACGTTAGCCATCACTATAATAACAGAGTTGCATTTTCTGAAATATGTGAAAATACTATAATCTGTAGCTGTGACTTTTGAAAATTGTGCAATACCCAGTGATTTAAATGATCACCATTTCTTCCACCCAAATTAGCCAAAATAGGTCACATCAAAAGTTTCTGTTTTATGATTGTTCTATGATTATAAATTTCAATATAGAGTTATATTACTTAGCCATGAAGATTTCTTGGTCAGCATTTCGTTCTTCACACAGATGTTCATTTTCGGTAAATTTTGCTTCTCTTAGAGATAAATCGTCTGGTCTGTCATCTTTATTCGAGTTAATTATGCACTCGCCACGTTCTGGTATTTGCTTTTCACAGCATTTTTTAATTTTGTTGGAGATGGAATCTTGTTTTGAACAAATATGGCTCATAACTTTGCTCTGTACCAAGTAAGAATGAAATGAATTTATTCTGACAGTTTTGTCAGGACTAGATTTTCCTTCAAAATGGAATGCAAAGCCAATCATGAGCATAGCATCTGAAATTGCTTCATTTTGATGGATAAAACTTATTTAAATTTTATATTAATTTAATTCACTTGAAGTTTCATATTAAACAAGCTTTATTACTCAAGATTTTAAATGATATAACTATGAAAATGAGGTGCTATTATAAATTCACATTTATTGTTAAATATTAACCATTTAAATAATTTACCCCTACTTCTTTGATATACTGGCATTTTTAATTCTACAGGTTGCTTCTTTCCATAAAAGTTTACCTGTGCATTAATGAGGACCACCAAAAACATGTTATTTTAATATTATTAATCCTAACCCTGGCTGGTGTAGCTCAGTGGATTGAGCGCGGGCCTCTGAACCACATGATCGCGGTTCGATTCCCAGTCAGGGCACATGCCTGGGTTGCAGGCCGGTTCCCAGAGGGGGACTCACAAGAGGCAACCACACATTGATATTTCTCTCCTTCTCTCCTTCCCTTTCTCTCTAAGGATAAATAAATTATTTTAAAAATATATTATTAATCCTAGATTTCTTCTCTTGTGACCTGAAACTACATTGCCAAGCACATAGTAGAAGCTCAATAAATATTTGATAAGAAAGAAAGAATGGCACACAAATGAACCACTACAGCAACTACCAGATGAAGACTTCTGAACCACAAGCTATTTTACTAATTATTGTCATTTCTGATGGATATTATTAACTTGAAGCTGTTCAAATTATTAAATGATGTATAAAATAAAAAATCTTACTCTTGCTCTTCATCCCAATTCTGATCTCCACATAAAGTTGTAGGAATAAGAGGGTGAAGTTATCTTATTTACGCAATAATTGGGTAATTTTTAAAAAGCTGATCTGGCCCCTAGTTTCTTCTCTGGACTCTCCAGAACAGGGCGGCACATTGCTCCTGCTCCGCTCCGGCTTCACACGAACCACAGTGAGTTCCACCGAAAGGGCAGGGCAGCCCAGGCCTCTGTTCAGGGTGCTTCTTCTGCCTAGCACCTTTCTCTAGCACACACTGCAGGTGAAGAACGGATGGAGCTCTGGGTTGAGGTGAGAAGTTGAATGAGGGCCAGCATGGTGTTTTCAATAAACCATCCTGAACCCAGTCTTTGCAAACACACGCACATCTCACTCAAGGTCATTACTGTTTTAGGCAACCTATATCTTATTGTCTGGAATTAATTTCTATTTTGAATAAACTGTAATTTAATTCCTCATATTTCTCTATAAAAGCATCAAAGAAGCTATTAAGAATATAATGTGATCTCCTTGTCTCAGCTCCAAAATTCATACAAAAATCTTGAACTATCCCTTGATTCAGTACATTATATTCTAAAACCCACACCTCCACAAACAAACAACACAGAACACGAATAGCTCGTGGGGTTGCTTTTAACTGGAGTATGCTTAGGAACAAAATAATTCTTAGGGACCTCTGTTGTCCACTGCTTAAAATAAAATATGCATGTCTTCATGTTCTAAAATTCGAGTTATTTAATTAACATATTCTTTCACTGAAAATTTGAAAAAGTAAAACTAATTAAATGTCACTATGAAAAAGTCATACTTCAACTAAGAAACTTTTAGTGAAAGTCAGGAAACTTTTAGTGAAATTGGTTATCTTTTTGTGCATAAACAACTTAAACTAGGTCAATACGTTTACCAGTATACACCCTTAGAGAATAATATTAAAGAACAGAATAAGAGTTTTATTTTTAGGTATTTTTTCATTACCATGTATCCCCCTTATTCTAAATTAACATATTCACTTATTCAGACAGACTGCTCCTAAATAACCTGGGGAAATTCAGAGAAAGCAGCTCTTAAAAATAAAGGAATAAATCATTCTCTGGGCTTTACTATTGATTTCTAATATCTGTAAAAGAGAATTTTCAGTATTAAAAATACTTTAATCTGGTCTAAATAAATGTTCACAATCCTAAATTTATGAAGTTTTATGTCTAAGACATTTAGCCACATGAAATAGAATCTGCTGAATAATCTAAAAATAATCCCATTAAAAAATCCAAATTTTATTTGGGCTTATTTGTTGACATTTTACTTTTATTATATTTATTTTATATTATTATTTAACAGTCTATTCACATTCTCATTCATTGCAGTAGAGTAGCCATGAATGAGTGTTACTTCTGAATAAACAAATGGCTGTCAGGGCCACTATCTTTACTCTGTTTTGGAGCATATTTACCCTGCCACGGATGCACTGCACAGCATCCCCTTCACAGCACACAGCATACTTGGAGGAAATGTCTTCGAGGAGGGAAGTAAGTTCCTTAAATTCAATCTTGGGGAATTTGTGACTAAGGATAACAATGTATCTGGAAAGAGAATTGATAAACCTTTAAAAAACTTGAACAGCAAGTAAAATAAGAGGGAATTATTTGATGATACGATACAAGTAGCTGCAAAAAAGCACTGGGAGCCTTGCTTTTTCACAGATGTCTTTATCAGAGACTGTTTATGTATTGCATGACCTGCACGATCTCTTTGAAAATCCTAGTTTGCGTCCTGGGCTGGGTAGTAGAGGGGAAGGCCCAATAGATATGTTCTCTTTCTTAACTTTTATAGCAAAGCACACCCTGCAAGGACCACCGCTTCCTGTTGTGAGCATGTGGCCAGCATAGGTAATCCATCACCTATGCTGAGCCTCGGTTCACCTATGATGAGCAGGAGCTGTGTTCCTGCTCAATTTGAAATTTCAGAATATTTCTCAAAACATCCCATTGGCACCATCACTAATTGAGTAGGGTGACCAATTGATATAGAACTTATCCATATAAAGTTGTTTCCTAGTCATTAAAGTCAAAGATGGATATCTATGTCACACTAAAGCATTTGGAAAATTAGTTCCCAGTTGGGAACTCCCAGGCCAACCAGCTTGGATTCCTAACTAACCAAAAAAAAAAAAAAAAAAACTCAAAAGTAGCCTTCTTTCTCTCCAAGCTCTCCCTACCTCCCAAGTCCTTTTACATCCCAACACTGTGTCCTGGTTCTCAGTTATCTATAGACTCAAGGACTAGGGAGGGTATAAATAAAGTTATCAATGATTTAATAATGTAGAAAGATACATATTATAAAACTCACATAGAGTTTAAAACTTGTGGTCCAAATTTCAAATATGCCCCACACACATTTTTTTGATAAGAAGATAATCCTTTTAAATATCGAATGACAGCTTCTGCCTGAAAGAGAAAGAAAATCCTATTGAAGCAGAGTAAAATCCCACTATTTCTTATTTCTTAACTACACGTCAAAGAGCCTATTCCAAAGCTTGCTCATAAATTTTTAAAAATCTATGGGATTTTTATTGGTAAATTTACATATCAGAAAAATATGCATTTGTGGCACACTGTAGAGGTGGAGCCAGTCTTTCTGATCACTGAATTGCACTTGGTGGGAGGGTGTATCGTAGTGAGCTGTGAGCTTCTCCCTCTTTACTGCATGATCCCATTTTGTGGTTAGCTAAAAGAAGGCTGCTAAGGATAGAAGATAAAATGTCAAATTTTATCCTGAATATCACTCACTAGGGCTTTCTTTAGAAAAAAAAAAAAAACAGAAGAGAGAGGGCCCTGTAAACTGGTGATTGTCTTTCAAGGGTCTAAGGAAATAAGAACTTTTAGATCAGCAGCAGGGGGTCATTGGGTTGAAAACCAGTAAAAGTAAGAAGAGAATGGTTATAAACGATAAATGAGTCTTTGCTATAACTTAACTTTCAATAAGGATCTACTGTGTTGGATGACTCCCTATCTGTCTTCGTGGAATAATGCAATGCCTACCCTTGTTCGAAAGCAGTCAGCCTTGTCTTGTTCTTCACAACATGTTTCAGTCATCTCCTCAATCAGATCAAGGACTCTAAGAAGTGTAGGGGCAAAAACAAAGGGACTCCTTCTGGAAACTTCATAGATATAACTATAAAAGGAAAAAGAAGAGAAGAGAGGGACAGGAAATAAACAGGAAAGAAGTAAGGGAATGGTAGAGAGGGAATGGAAAGAAAATAGAAGGGAAAGGAAAGATGGGAAAAGGCAATAAAATCAAGTTGTGAAAATGAAGTGCAAGGAAGAAGGATTTTCCATTAGAGAAGTCTTCGACATAAGGCAGCATTATCCAGTATCCAAGGAAAGTCTTTTGGAGTCCTATCATTGAATTGCCAACTCTAAAGTGAGTGATGATTACAGTTCTAACCCTGAGCACTGAGCTGTGGCCAGTGTCCTTACCTCCCATGCTGCTAAACGGTCAGATTCTCTCCCTTCCATGTTAAGAAGAGCCACCTAGACACACTGCCTCTGAGATTCAGGGATCATATTCACTTACGTTCATATAAACTTGTGATTTAGGTTTTAATGAGTATACCGGCTTCCTGCTTCTGCCATTGCAGCACTATGGAAAACAAGTTTTAACTAAACAGTTATTGACTTCATGTTTACCCTCAGTAAAAGCTGCACCTTCCCTTTGGGAAAGCAATATTGTTTCCTCTACTAGCAATTCGTCACCATGTACACATTTCTGTTCTAGGGCTTGTCACATTAGAAAATGCATATTATTAATGGAAGGACCTTGACACAGGTGTTTTATCTTATTCATGGTTATATTCTCAGCACTGAACACAGAATCTGACACAATAAGTGGTGAACAACTTAATTGCTCAGTGAACACAACTATGTGCCTTTGAAATGGATATAAGATATCCTTTAGCCTAAGAATAATTCTTCAGTTACATCATTTTTAATTAAAATGAAACTTACTTGCTTAGAAAAGATTCACTGTTATTTTTATAAGCTTGACATTTCACTTCAGGATCCAGAGTAGGGAGAGGCGGAAGGAATCCTACATCAGCTTTCTTATTACGGAAGAAACAGAGTCTCCTTTCATCGTTAACCTTACTGCAGCAGTGTGAAAAATTATGCTTTTCTGGCAGCCCCTCCATAGCACATATTGTTTCCAGTAAAACATCTTGCTGGACAACAGAGAAGTAAAAGACACTTTTCATTCATTGTGAAGTTTCTCAACCTTTTGAGTTGATATAATGATTACTGAGCATTACCCTTTGGGGAAAAGATGGCGATTCTCCCAATATCAGCAGCAGAGCATCTTGACCCACACCCTTGACAACCATCTCACACTTCGTGAGAGTTCCTCTACCCTATCCTAAGGCTCTTTAACCTCTTACTTTTTCTTTGCTTCTTATATTTCACTCGAGTAACAGCGTTTTTCCTCCCAGGGTGACGAAGTCAGAGTGGGTAGGTGTTGGTAAAGTATTTAGTAGGGGAGTTGAGTAATGGTTTTCTAGAGATGCAGACCTTATACGGGAAAAGCCAAGAAGAGAGGATGGGATAGTAGAGTACATATGGAGAGAGGCAGCGAAGGAAGGTACCTCTGTAGTCCTGTGTACTTCACCAGGTCTTTGGCTGTCCTACGTCTGTATACATATGGCATGCACTACAAGCTCATGGCCAAGTCCTGCTGTGCATGGACTGCAATCTCATAGTAAAGTCCCCCTGTGTATCATAATACAGAATTGCATCTCTCTTAGGAAACTACCTCATCCTAAATACTAAAGTCAGGCAAAATAAAAATGAGGGGCACAGAGTATCTTTCTTTTTAGACTTTGAAGCCAAAAAAATGTCTGTGTTGACAAATAAGCTAGTTTGTTTAAGGAACACAAACAGCTTACTTACAGGTAATTTTAAACACTGGGAGAGTGTGCTGTTGGCCAGGCATCGGTCTTTGTATTCTGTCATGGCTTTGGCCAACATTTCTGCTTCCTCAAACGATGCCTCCTGAATATATTGAGCAAATGCAATGATGGCACTGCAACAAGCCACACAGAGCACATACTGATCACCTGCACAGTTACCACGTGTGTTCAACAAACTCGCAGGAACAGCCCCTCGGTGAATGGCCTCTGGAAATTATCGAAGTGTGAGGCTATGAATTATACAAGCTCTTGACAATTAAATTATCTCATCTGAATTTTATGATTAATACTGTATTTACTTTTTTGATATGGTATTTATATAAATAAATTACTTTTGAGAAGCATTAACAGTTCTGGAATATATCAGATAAGATTATAATAAACACCATCATCATCAAAAAGAGTTTGAAGAAACTCACATATGTCCAGCATTCTCCTCTATAAATTTCTGGGTAGTACTAAAATCTGAAAAGCAAAGATATTTAAGTTATTCTATATCCTGGTATTTTAACATTTTCCTGATAAATAACTATACAAAAATATCTAAATTTATTGATACAAAGTATAAAATAGAAAACTAAGGTAGAAATAATTTTGTATATTTAATAAGAAGGAAAAAAGTCATATGAACCAAATATGGAATCTTAATCACAGCTAACTATATGCTTAATATATACTTATTTAATTGAATTGACTTGAATTAATCTCAAACTGACCAGATTTCAGAGTTGCCATTGACGGCTCCCCAGCCACAAATGTCAAATACAAACATCATTTCCATGTTAAGGATTTATCATGTTTGACTATAAAAGTAACATTAAGGTAAACTGATAGGTGATGTAATGTCACAACAGAGTCAAAGAAGAGCTGCCATAGCATATGGTGGTCAGTGTAGTTTACAGTGCTAGCCAGACACCTATATTTAGGTGATCTCGGGACTAGTCTCAGATCACTGGTTCCTTCCCAGCGAGCACCAGCCTAGCACATTTATATTCAACCACGTAGAATGCTTCAGTGGAGTCCTTACTTTTGTAAAGTAGTGTGCTGTATGTCATAGGGCAATCAATGATGACCGAGGCGTCTCTTTTGGACCTCAGGCTCCTAAGTACACTCACAGTGCAAGTGAACCTCGAACATGATTACCCACTGTAATCCAGTTTACAATGTATATAAGAACACTGTGGTTAAACAATCATATACTTTATAAAGCATCCCCCCCCAATATTTTCAGTACCCACCTGGCACCATGCATAATTATTATAATATTATTGACTACATCCCCTATTCTGTACTTTACATCCTCATGACTATTTTGTAACTACCAAGTTCTGCTTCTTAGTCCTAGTACACTGTACACCCGAAATTAATAAAAAATAATATTGACTGTAAATTATAATTGAAAAATATTTAAAATGGAAATCTATTTGGAAAAATAACAAAAGAAAACTTCCCTAATTTGGTGAAGGAAATAGACTTGCAAGCCCAAGAAGTACAGAGAGTCCCAAACAAGATGGACACAAAGAGGTCCACTCTAAGACACATCATAGTTAAATGCCAAAGGTTAAAGATAAGAAGATAGGAGGGTGGTGTAGGGGAATGGGCGAGAGGAGAGGGAATTAACAGGTAAAATAGGTAGTTACAAAAAAGACATGGGGATGTAAAGTACAGTATAGGGAAGGGAATAGCCGAAGAACCTACATGCATGAACAAAGGTGGGGGGAATGCCTGAGGGAGTGGGGGGTGCTGGGTAGGGGGGAGCAAAGGGGAGAAACTTAGTAGGACTGTAATAGCTTAATCAATTAAATGTAATTTTATAAAAGGTGTAGAATTCAAAAAAGAAAAAGAAAAAAATAAAATGTATGTGACATCTTCAAATAATGTGGATAAGTACCTGACAGGGATGCTAAAGGATCCTTGGGTGAGGAATTAGAAATAGATTATAGGAGCAGTGGCATGGGAGTTGAATCTGAAAAAATGTACAAGATTTCGGCTAACAAAAAAATAAGAGGCCTCTTCTTTCTGTGTATAGAATGATGTAAGAACACAAAGGTGAGAAATCTTGAGATGTCATTAGGGAAAGAAAATTAATCCACCTTGATGAGAACATGGGTCATAAAGAAGGACGATGGGACCTGCTATAGAAAGGACCTGGGTCCAGATTAGAGGAGCCTTTCACACGAAGCTGGGAGTTTGGGCTTCAATGGGAAGACATAAAAAGCCATTGAAATACTTATGTAAAATGATTATTTTTATATGCCAAGAAATACTATCCAGGTAGTCGTATCCCTAATATGCTGGGATCTCCCACAGTGCCTGATAAATAAAAATGACAAGCACTATTTGTCAAGTACGTGAATGGAATAATGAATGGATGAATGGAAAAAAGCAAGAAACCCATCAGGAGACTTTTGCAATTGGAGGGGATAATGGGGAGGGGGAAAAAGGGTTTTTAGGAACATGTGTAAAGGATACATGGACATACCCAAAGCGGGGTAGGATCAAGAGTGGAAAGTGGGGGTGGCTGGGGCGGAGGCAGTGGTGGGAGGGAAAATGGAGACAACTGTACTTGCACAACAATAAAAATATGTTAAAAAGAAAGAAAACTCAGCAGGACATGGGTTTTTGGTAGTGTAATGGAAATGCAAAGGGAATCATAGATGTGAAAGACAGAGACAAAAATCAACAGAGTATTTGAACAGGTTGTTACAAGGGACAAACAAGAAGGAAAACTCAAGAATGACCAATTGTGTTCAAGCCTTGTGACTGGGTCTCACTAGCAGGCACCTCACTAGGGTGTCAAATTGAGTAAGACACAAGCTCATCTTTGGGGCCACCGTGACATGTATGGCACTTTTGTGCAAGTTACAAAAAGGTGCTCCTTCCAGGCCAAAGGGATTACAAAGAAATACCTCCTCTGATTAGAGGAAACTCAAAATGTGCCCCCTTCGATTAGAAGAAATATAAAAGTCACCCTTTCCTTCAGACTGACACTGTGTTGCGCAGACTTGTGGGAGGGGACTGTGCAGGCTGAGGGGATTTACTAACTGTACAGTCAGAGGTCCCACCACCCCTCCGGGTGTTTTCTACCCAGTTAAGAGATATGCTAAACAACTAAAGGTTCCAGAAAAACCCCAACTCGAATCTGGTATTTCACTGTTACCATGTACTCTACACTTTCACAAGAAACGTGAGTATTTTAAGATCCAAATCCTATCTCCCAACAACACTTCCTATACTGGTGTAGGACTAGTGACCATTTGCTGGATATGGTAACTGTCTCTATAGATTGCTTAATATGACCACCAAAAGACAAAAGCTGGGATAGCTCAGGACATCTGATCAGTATATATAAACTAGTAGGGATGTGGGGCAGAAAAAAAACAAGTGAAAAATTAAGTTGAAAGAATACAGGTTAAAATAATAGAAATTATCACAACCTTAGTCATTTCTTAGCTGATTTATACAAGTAAATTTCTTACCTACATCTTGAGGCTTTGTGGGCAAGTTTAGGGATTCAGTCAAAAAAAACAAGAAAATAACAAAACCTATAAGTTTTAACTGTTTCATTTTTTTAGAAATCACATTCACACAGGAAAGTAATATGATTGAGGAAAATTGGGGTTTTATGTTATTCATTGACACTACTGGTAAAAAAGTAACCTGTTTAACCTCTTTCTCACATACCTCAAATTTGATTGTTATTTGATCACACTGCAGAATTCTTGCTAATTATTAACTAGGAAAAATTATCTCTGTTTTTCACTGGAAAAAATCTATTGGTTAGGAAAAAAAAAAAGTCCACAGGTTAAGTATGCACAGTACCTAATCAAATAGACAACTGAAAAATATCTTGAAATACTGCATCTGCTAAGAAAAAAAGAACTAAAATAAATAATTTACCAATTAGAAAATACAACTAGAAAGATGTTAAATTTTGCTCGTAATCAAAGGAAGTTTAATTTAAACAAAATAAAAAATCATACCTGATAGAATCAGGAAAAAGAAAACAATTAAGATATCTTATTCTGGTAAACAAATAGCAAAATAGGTACCCGTATGTTCAAAGCTTTTAGAAAACAAGTTTTTAATAAGGTTCAGTAGTCTTAAAAAGATTCATGTTATTGAAACCAATCACTCAAGTTTTTGAATCAATACTAAGGACATGATTCTATGAAAATATTTTAAGTACATAATTAAAAGTGCTAATAAAGCAGGTGTTAATGAGAAGAATAACCGTGTAGGCAACTGGGTGTAGTCTTACTGAGAACTAAGAAGCAGAAAATTTCCTAGAATTGCCCTACCAGAGGACTGGGTAGCTGGGGCATTTATCCACTGACTGAGGAATATGTGAGCAAGAATAATAATCATGAAACCTTAAGGAGACAAGCTACTAGGGTGAGGCCTAGTATAAAGCAGCACTACTGGATAGTCAAACAAATTCTAAAACATTATAATAATTGTAACTATAATGATACTGACAACCAAGAGAGAAATACAACAATCTAAAAATCTAAAATTATATTCAAATGGCTATCCATACACTGGAATGATTACAAATAGACCAGAGATCCAAATGTAAAGAGAAAAACACATAAATGTTCTAAAAAAATACAAATAATTTGGGGGGAATTTTTTAAACTATGTTGCAAAACCCAGAAAAAGAAATAAATTCAACTGCATGACATTTTTTCTGAGACTCTACATGGAAAAACTACTATAAACAAAGTCAAAAACCAAGGGGAAAAACTGAAAAAGGGTAGTTGCAATTTGCATTATAATATACAAAGAGCTCCTAGAAATTGGAGGGCAAAAGAAAAAGAATAACAATCTGATAGAAAAATAGTAAAATGATATAAGCAGATAGTATACAAGAAGGAAAAACTGATGGGCCTTAACCATAAAGAAAGATGTTGATAACAATACAAATGCAAATTTAACAACACCCCAGTACCATTTCTTACCTATCTCATTGTAAAAATCTGAAGTTTGATAATATATTTCAAGGATTAAGCTGTTGGGAAATAGGTTCTCTCATCCATTGCTAATTTGAATGCAAAATGGTGATACAATATTTATAAAGGAGAACTTGGCAATATCCAAAAATATATATGCATTTGTCCTTTGAGCTGAAAAAATTCTAATTGGTACATATACTAAAAATATAGTGCCACTATTATTAAATGACTAAAGACGTAGGTGATTCATTGTGGCATTATTTATAGTAGTAGAAGATTGGAAATAATCCAAATGTCCATTAGTAGAAGTTTGGTTAATAAACTGTAGCATATCCACACAAAGAAATTCTATGAAGTTGGTGTTTTTTTTAATTTAGGAAAAACTTATGCTAATACTGAGTGATTATCAAGATTATATTTTTAAGCAAAGAAAGCAAGGTATTGAACAACATTTTAATATGTAGAATAAAGGTAGAATGGTGTAATAGGACCATATTTATACTCATATTTGCTTGATGTCGCCTCTCTCACTCCTAATACTGGTCATTTGTCTTTTGTCTTTTTTCCATTGATAAGTCTGGCTAGAGGTTTATCAATATTATTAAACTCAAAAAACAAGCATTTTGTTTCATTGATTTTTATATATTAGTTTTTCTATTTTATTAGTTTCTTTTTTATTAGTTTTTTTCTATTTTATTAGTTTTCTTTTATCTTTATTATCTCCTTTGTTATGCTTTTTTTTTAGTTTCTTAAGGTGGAAGCTGAGTTCACCGGTTTGAGATCTTCCTTGTTTTAGTGGCACCCCCAAAATGCTGGTATTTTCATTTTCATCCAGTTCAAGATATTTTTAAATGCTCTTTTTGCTCTTTTGATTCATGAGTTCTTTAGAAATGAGTGATTTAGTCCATGAACATTTGGGGATAGTCAGAGACCCCATTATTATTAATTACAAATTTAATTCCCTGCTACCAAGCAATTCTCTAAAATCTCACTTAACTCTCTTTTAGAAAGACAAATTCTTTATATGTTAATTCACAATTGGGGTGGGGTGAGAGGGGGGAGGGGGGTACTTTAGAAGAGTTCATTCCTAAGAGTGGCTGCTCAGTGCTCACTTTTCCCCAACAGTTTGTCATCTCCACAGGAATTTTTAGTTTACAAACATCAGGAATGAGAGAGGTGACAACGCCACAAACATTAAAATAATAACAAGGGAATATTGTGAAAAATAACCTGCCAATAAATTTTATGACTTAGATGAAATGAACAAATGCCTTGAAAGACAGAAACTACCAAAGCTCACTGCAGAAAAAACCAGATAACGTAACCCTGTGGACACCACGCAATCCGGGCCACTGCTTCTGCTGTATGTTTCACAGTGGCGGTGGGTGAAGGCACGGTCTTCCCTGAGACACAGTGTGCAGACAAGAGCACAGGTTCCATTCTATCTCCCTCCCACCGCTTCATCCTCTTTAAGGCCAGTTACCCTAGTCTGTCACAGAAACACACAGGCACACATGCACCAGATCTTTAACCTTCTCATGGAGGAGAAATGCATTTTCTGTTTTTTAATGTTAATTTTTAGAGCCATGCTTTCTCCTCTCCTCAGTGTGCCTTTTAGAACATGAAGCAGTAAAGGAAGTCTCCAGCAGGTGATAATGAGTGTGTGTGAGGAGATGATGGAGTGAGCCCGTGCATATCTGACGGCAGTTCTCCAAGAAAGAAGAATCACAAACCCAAAACTCTGAGCAGGAAATTAATTGGTAACTTGAAAAACAGCAAGGAGGCCACTAGTCTGGAAAATGTTGAAAGAGAAGAGGGTAGAAAGGGACCATCGTGGAGGGGTGTTGGACAGACTTTACATTTTACTCAGAGTTAGATGGGAAGCCACGATAGGTTTTAAGTAAAAAAGTGGCATAATGTGTGTGTGTGTGTGTGTGTGTGTGTGTGTGTGTGTGCGATGTGCTAGTGAGTGAGGTCCAAGTCCTGGCGATCCTATGAATGATCGATTGATGGCACAATGCCCTGATCTCAACAGCTCTACTCAGCTCTGGTGGACCCACGCCTATGGCTGCCTTTGTGGAGGTGCCCATTCTATATTCGGTCCTCCTCTTTCCTGCTACCTTCTGTTTCCCCAACATTATTGTCTTTTCCCAAGAACCACACCTTCTCATGATGTGCTCGATGTAAGATGGCTTCAATTTTGTCATTTTTGCCTCTAAGGATGTTTCAGGTTTAATTTGTTTTAAGACCCAGTCATCCATCTTTCTGGTGGTCCAGGGTATGCATAAAGCTCCCCTTAACACCCTCTTTCAAATGAATCACTTTTTTATATCATCCCTCTTTACTGTCCAGCTTTCACAGCCATATATAGTAATTGAGACATTGAGGGTGTGGGTGATCTTAGTCTTGTTATCTAATGAAACATCTTTACTCTTGGTGATGTTTCCTGGTTATTCTATTGTTATGCCCCTGAATCTCAACCTTCTCATAAATTTTTGATGAAGGCATAATGTATTTAAATGTAAAGAATCACTTCAATTAGTATGTTGACACCAGGGCTAGGGATGGGGCAAAAGTGCATGAAAGAACACCAATTAAGAAACTATTGAAATAATCCATGTGTGGTATGATTAGGACTCATATCATAGGTATTGAGAAAGTTAAATTCTGGATATACTTTGAAGATAGAGCCACCAGTCTTTGCTCATAGGGGTAATATGGAAGAGAAGAACCATATGATTCTAAGGCTTGTGGCTTGAGAAACTAGAAGAATTGACAAGACAGAGGGAAACACAAGTCTGGGACAAGGCAGAATTCAGTTTGGAATGTGCTAAGTTTGAGTTATTACTGTATTATCGAAATGGAGATATGAGGAAGGAAATGACATTTGAGCCTGGAAATTAAGGAAGAAATCCAGGCTGGGGATATAAAGAGGTGTCGTCCACATCTAGCTGGTATTTCTGAACCAATCTAGATGAGGTCACGTAGAGAGCAAGTTCAGATTCAGGGAAGGCTGCTCTGAGACACTCAATATTTAGAGGTTAAAAAGTTACAGAAATTGCAGCAAAGAAGACCCAGGGGATGAAGCCATAAGATAGAAAAAATCCAAAAGCCAAGTAGAAAAATGTTTCAAGGGAAAGAGAGTGACCAACTGTGTCAGATTCTACTGAAAGCCATAAGCAAAGTGAAGACAGAAATTGGATTTTTGAGGCATGGGACTCACTGGCAACCTTGGCCAGAGGTTACCCTGAATCTTTATTTTTCTGGCTAACTTGTTATTTCAAAAAAGTAAAAACCATTTAAAATCTCCAATTTGACATTGTACTGATATCATTGGTCCTTGTCTTTCCAATCATTTTTTTCTTTATATATTTCAATGAAACATCATTTGGCTCATAAATTTTTCTAACCAATTTATCTTCACCGAACTTTTAACAAAAATTTTACTTTTCTTGTTTAATGCTTTCATATTGAATTTTATTTTATCTTATTGTGACTTTTAAATTAATGCCTTTTGGAATTAGAACAAAATCAGATGAAGTCTAGAGATTTTGCAACAGAATGTAAGGTCCAGAGCAATTGAGAGAGAACTGAAAGCTTTCTGCACTCCTGTGGAGCAATTGTTTCCTCCTAGAGGAGAGGCGAGAGTAGGAACGCAAGTTTTAGACATTTATTCAAAACTAACACAATAAACGGCCTCCCTACTGGTCGACCGACCTTTTTTTCTCCACTTTCTGACCTTGGCCCTCTGCACTCTTTCCTCTACCTCTGCTCTCCATCCTCCATATCTCACAAATATCCTTCTGAAAGATCGTTACTAATTAAATATCACTTTGGTCCCTTTACCTTTAAGATATTGTCCAAACCTTTTGGAATAAAGTCCTTGAGAGTCTTGCTCAGTCCCACATGGCTTCCATACCTGTGCTCTTCTGCTCACCCTGCCCTCCCCCGCAAACCATTGATCATGTTTTGTCACAGGCTATTTCACTCTCTCGAGAATTGGACTGTCTCTCTTATTTGAATTCATAAATGCCCTCTCATCTCTAAGATTCTTCTTAAATGATGATCTCTCAGTGTGAGACTTTCCCCAAATGATGGTCTCACCCATCCTTTGATTCAACAACTTGTCACATTTCTATGATAGCCATAATCTTCTTGCATTGCTACTAGCTGCTTCCTTCTCTGCTGAAGCAACTGGAGGACAATGGTTGCACCGAGAACAGCACACGGTACCCAGTGAGTGCTCAGTAAATAAATATTTGTGGAATAATGAATTCATTGATAAAAATTATATTCAATCAAAACAACTATAGTGCGTTACCTATAGGTTTTCAAATGTCAGCGAATAGAGAACTGAACATGAATGAGAAAAAAAGAGGCTAAACTTGGAGTAGAATCATTCTGGAGGGATTCTATAAAAGCATAATTCCTTTTCTCTTCTCCAGCTTATCTGTTAGCATGTGTAAATGGTCATTTAATGGAATATGTGTCCTGGAAGCACCACACTGTGCTTAACCTGGGAATAATTTTTTAGTTCACCAAGCACTCTAGACCTTAGTATTATAAATCCATCCTTGGCTGGATTTAACCTCTTACCATAATCAATACTCAAATACTCAATGCTTTTTGACTGGAATCTGTTTCAGACACTGGTATACAAAACCATGGAAATTACCTTTAAATTTTCATAAATAAGCAAGTAGAAACAAAGAATATTTGAGGATATTTTATTTCTATGATAAAGAAATCTCACATAAAAGTCTTCATCATTTTATTAATTCATAAAAAGTACTAAAATCATTTAGAATTTAGAAGTTCACACCAAACCCCAAAGACAATTTTATCTTCTCTTCACCCTGTAATATGAACAAAAATATATTAAGTACTACATAAATTAATTAAATAGGTTAAATAAATAAGTTGAGCACAGTTAAATACTAGGTGCAGAAGGTAACGGGTTTATTATTTTATATCAGAGAAATATTAGATAAATAGGAAGTTCTTCTCATGGCTTTCTCTGAAGCCTTTGAATTAACCTCAAAGAATTTTGAGTTAGTTGAGTCATTAATTTAACACTGTTGTCATAATTTTGTTTCAGTATCTTTAAAATAAGATTTTTTATTGAATTGCAGTTATTTTTTAAGAAAAGCATTTAATGGTAGTTCTTAGGATGCATTTCACTATAGATTAATATTTGGGAGAAACAACATTATTTAGCCTTGTCTGAATTTTTTTGTTACCTGAAGTAGTTTAAACTCCCAAAGCAGCCCGAGTTTTTGAAATTAGTTTTGGACCCTGCAAATTAAGAACAAATAAGTCTCCTCAGATAAAGGCATGGATGACTGTGTCAGACATACAATTAATTCTCCGCTATTCAAGGGTGAATTCACATGTTTATAGGTTAACCTAGTTAAAAATAAAGACATACATTTCTGATGCCAGCAAGCTGGGACAGTGGAGGGCAGAGAGAGAAAAAACAGTAGATTTTGTTTGCTTTATAACAATGTCTAAAGCATAGACACATACTGATAGGTCCATACACTCAAACATATTTAATTATATTATCTATGGGAAAAGTAAACATTTCTAACTATTACACATCTCTTTAACTTATATAAAAATATTCAAACTTTTGTAGTATGAAATAGATAAAATTGGCAAAATGGCTGTTATAGAATATATTTTTTAAATATAGTGATGCTATATTTAAATATGTTTAGTAATACAAACTAAAGGCTTACAAAATGTAGCCAATTACAAATTCAGGTAAAATTGCTAAGTAATTACATTAAGATAATTTCTAATTACTACTCTATTAATATTCAAAGGCATGTTTCCAAATGAGTTCAGATATGTTTTCTATAAATATTCCTCTAGTATCCTATTTGCACGATTCATTTGCTAATAAATTCTTTTAATCCATTTAGCTGAACTGACAAATTTTATTTCAGAAACTTTCTAAATTATCATCAATTAATTATATATTCACTTTATTGTTTTTTTCTAAGAAATAAATCAAAATTACTAATTCCATTAATATTTTTTTAAATTTTACTTCTTTCTACTATTTGGTGAGAAAACCGTTTCCATTTCTAAATCAAATTTAAATCTCTCTGGCATTATTTTAAAGTTATAGATTAAGGGGGTGCCCTTTTCATTATTCATTGTAGAAAATTCTGTACCAAGTATTTTGAGTCCAAAAATGAGCTACACATACCTCTTCTGCAAAGCATACTTCCTGTTCTTGACCCTGGCAGCACTTTTCCAGTAGACCAGAGAAATCTGCAATAACAGCTTCAAGTTGTTCCTCTGTTATTTGTGGCTTTTGCTTCACAAGGTTAATGAGAAACCTATTTAAAACAAAACACAAGGGAAGTCTGTTATGCAATGATACTTTTCTTAAGTCTTCCCAGTAGAGAATTTTCAGAGCCTTAGCAACCTTTACCATAAACCCTCTTTCCATCAACCCATAATCTTATGACTTAGCTTATACACCTTGTCTAATACTTTCATCAGAAAGGCAGGTTAGAAACATGCCAAGTATTCCCCTGGTCTGCATTTGTGCACATTATAGAGGAAACAGTATTTCACAGTTCTACCATACTTATACCTAGTGAAATGCAGTCTTTTTCTTACTTATTTAGAATATCCTTTCCAATTTTCTCTTCTAAATTGTCTTATCCATATTCAAAGGCTTTCCCAACACCTGCCATCCATAATTACAACACCCCTACTGAGCACTGGCAATACTAATTCTCTGATATATTCATTTAGCAATACTTCCATGCTGGAATTAATGTCAGATGGAATAATAAGAAAGGTTTGCCAGAGGAGGTAATATTTGTACTGTACCTTGTAACATGTCCCAGATTTTAACAGAGAAAAAAGGGGAAAACACATTTTCCAAAATGAAGGAAGACCATTCACAAAGCAAGAGAGTATTAAAATGCATGGGGCCACTAAAATGCATTGGGCACCATCCGTTGCATCAACTTGCATTACCATCGCCATTACAGAATGCCTCCCACAACCAATTGAAATGTGCGTTCCATGTCATAACACTCATACTTCATGGTTAAATCAAACATTATGGTCATTCTCTTCAAAAGGTACACAATGTGGAAAGCGATTCAGTAGTATTTTGGAATGAAAGTACCCAGAGGCACTGCAAAGATATACTTTAATTTTCCAAAACAGATTTCTCATTTTTCTCAATCTCAAAATAACACTACCACAATAGTTACAATGGAGACTGTTTTTACAAACAAGAAATTGTTGCCTTATTAAATTTTCCCAGGCCTACCTCCCAGTGAGGCTATGAAGAAGGTACTGAGAGAAAACCATTTTGAAAGCCACTTTAAGTGCTTTGGAATAATAATGTTCTCCTGATGATCCCAAGAGTGTTGGGAGTGCGGTACAGAAATACTAACTGCTATATGGTATAGTCACTCTTCTCCATGTTAGCAAATAAAAATCTCTTACTGTTGCTTCATTGTTTGCAGGGCTACACCCTGAGCTTGGCACAGATCCTTATGGAAGATGAACTTGTCGTCAGAGAATGGTGGGGGGACATATGTTTCATCCACCACCAAGCTGCTGAAGCATGGCCTCCTGTTGGCATATGAAGAAGTGCAGCACTGGCCGACAGCAGGGTTTATAGGAGTCTCTTCGTGCCGGATGCATAATTGTCCAATAATGAGGTCAGCCTAGTTAGGAGAATGGCGTGGGGTGGGGAACAAGGGGATGGGGCATGAGCCATAAAATTGATGTTGGTTTCCAGAAAATTGTTACAATGATTTTTTAATGTATGGTAATTTTTAACATTACAAGAAAAGTTGCTGTTTTTGTAGGATCATGTGTTGCTACATTATAGATTCTTGCTTGCCCATTTGTTCAGGCTGAACCTCAGCATTTAGTGACAGATGGCCCGTAGGTGATGTTGAGGACAGTCCCTTCAGCTATTTGCATCAGCTACTCAAAATACTTTCAAAAGGGCAAAAAAATCTCTGCCTTGACCTAGGAAATCAATACAGGGCTTACATTTTCCATGTTTATCTGGTTGAGTTTTCTACTTTACTTCTGGGCTCCAGAGAATCACTTTTTGAAGGTAAGACTAGCACAAACGCAGTCATTCCTCATTGAAAAGAAATAGGGCACGTGCACGTATATGTGTGTGTGTCTTTAAGGTTTTCCCCATGTAGAATCCTCCTTTCTTCCACACTTTGGAGATCTTCCTTAAGTGCCTACTAATAACTTGTAATAAGAGCCAACACATTTTGTGTGCACACTGTGTGTCAGGCTAGCCCTAAGTGAGTTGGGTATATTACCTTGGACAGCCATCTTATGTGGGTGGCACAATTTTTGTTCTCAAATGACAGATGAAAAAGTTTAAGCTCAGTGAGGTAGCTAGCTTCCCCAGTGACATGACTAACGCGTGTTGGGAGTGAGAAGGGACCGCAGACAGGAGCCCTCCTGAACACACTCCTGAGCCACCACAACATCCTGCATCTCTGCCTCCTCCCAACATGGCAGAATTCAATAAATGACAAAGAAGATGCTCAATCACAGGAAATTCTCCTTTCCTTCTAATCTCTGGTGAGAAGTTTCAAGGCCTGAAGACTAACTAGCAAATCATTCCCCATCATCAAAAAGAGGAAAAGGGAAAATTTTGTATACAATTTTTGTTACAGTTGTGACTTTAAGGGAAAAAATAATGGAAAAAAACCCATAATCATAGGGCACTAGTGAAATGAGTTGTTTCACTATCAAGAACATGGGACTTACCCTATTTTGTACCCTATACCCTATTGAAGGGAATAAATTATTCCTAAGGTCATTAGAATACCCTTGTATCTTTACTATGGAGAGTAAAAATATAGGTATGACTAATTTTAATCCATCAAAGATGAAGTTTTTCTTTTCTTTTAAACATTACAATAAGTATTTAGTGAACAAGAAAAGAAAATGGCGAAGTGACTGATGTGTTGGTCATTCTCTCCTCCCTTTATTTCTAGCTTGCTCAGACACTGTCGAGTGAACTGTTCACACTCCCACCAGCTGTTCCAGAAGGGCAGGAAGCCTGGCCACGTCTAACTATGTGAGCTGACTTTTCACACCCCCTCCAACTGTAACTGGCCAAATAACTCTAAGTCACCTCCACAATGGTTTTTGCCATTTTCCCTCAGTAGGAACAAGGAGGCCATTTCAAACAAGGCAGAAACGAGACAGGATGAGATGAGACACTCACCGCGCCCTCACCACAGGCCAACTGTTTCTCCTCGCTGAGCTGGCAACACGTGGCTGCTGCAATTGCCATTTTCCTGGTGTAGGCCAGCAGCTCAGGCGGGCTCAGCTGAGGGGCCTTCTTTGTGTAAGCAACAAGAAACCTGCAAGGCATTTTCCACCAAATCTTGCTGAGTCATTCATGAGTTTTTGGACTCACTTCTTCTCAAAGACCCTCTTTTGGTATCAGAAGACATGGACTCATTTAATCACCCATGTGGTATTTGGACCAACTTTTGAGATGCGATTACTGTACCACTCCTTATATTCCCCTTATACCTACATATCACAGTGGGAAAACAAATGCTGGGCAGAAGGTTGACTCCTATTCCCACTGTCAGAAGCTTCATTGATTTTAACTTCGATCTTTGGGTGTTTTAACTAGGACAAACTATGGCAAAATGAATATCTTTCCTGCAAAATTGGCATGATTTGGGGGAACCCAAAGCCCGTGACACAGATCACACTTCACAGGTCATTCTTGTTGCCTCCTGAACCAGGGGAATGGGAAGACTGCCTTCTCAGGGGAAATTGGGTGATCACTTTACACCTACTGCCGATCTGAAAGCAGAGCTGAAATCAGAGTAGCCATGGTGACTAATGTAGATGTATATTTCCCTCATGGGTTCATAATTTTAAATTACTAAAAATACTGCTTAATAAAACATACGCATTTTGTAAGTAATATTCTCCTAGCTTCTGGAAGAGACCACAGCTTCGCTTTGCCAGAGCTTGGCTCTCCTGGATATATTTCTCCAATTCTTCTTCCTGAAAATGCAAGCATTATTACACACATTTTTTTCTCTTCTTAGACACATAACTTTGTATGTAAAATTTTCCCAGTAATACTTTATTCTATGATGATACCAATCTTAGAGAAAGCAATTTTAAAAGAACTTTTTAAATATTAAAGATGGCAAAGTTTGAATTGTGAGAACTAAAACAAAGGGACTCTGGAAAGATTAAGTTTAAAACTTTGTGAATCATCAAGCAATTTGATGACAGAATTCAACCTTTGGATTAAGGATTACAGTTCTTTCTATACAAAAGCTTGCCTTTCTTAAACTGTTAAAAATTAGTATTATTTTTATTCTGCGTGTCAAATTTTGAGGATTATTTTTATTTCTAAAGTAAGCCAGTAGTTATTGACAACTAAGTTAATAACTACTTAATAGCTAGAGACTAGTAAACAGATACAACAAGCTAACTATTAGTTAATAGCTAGATATTTTCAAGCAATAAGCTAACAGTATATTTTAATGGATGACATCAATCCAATATTTCAGATTCCACTTAAAAAGCAAGAGCAACTTACCCCTTTATCCTGGCATTCAAGAGTGTTTTGAGACTGAGAACATTTCTCCAGTAACTCCTGATATCCTTTAGCAACTCTTAGAATTACTGGGACAGCAAACTTAGTATGTCTTCTTGAATATTCATAAGTAAATCTAAAATATGTGTGAAAAAATCCTGTTATTGGAATTAAGAGAAAAAAATCCTTCCTTTGTTATATGGTAAGCAGAAGTTAAAATCCAAATAAATAACCCTGGACATCAAATAAGATTTAAACTATATTCATGACAAAACTATTAGTACAAACTAAAATTCCTCAAATTGTTTTAAGGAATGGTGCATCTTGCCTTTTTTTTGCATCCTTCATTTTGGCTTTATGATTGTGAGTTTTGCATTCACTTATTCAACAAATAATTTTCCAGTGATGATTGTATGCAAGAATTCTTTAAGCAAATTTTTAATAATGTATAAGATAAAAATGTGTGACCTCTCCAAAGCATACATTATAACCCTGGCCAGTGTGACTCGGTTGGTTGGAGCATCACCCCACAAACTGGAAGGTAGAGGGTTTCATTTCTGGTCTGGGCACATGCCTAGGTTGTGAGTTCAGCCCCCACTAGGGGTGAGTGAGAGAGGCAACCTATTGATGTTTCTCTCTCACACTGATGTTTCTCTCCCTCTCTCCCATTCCCTTCCCCTCTCTTTAAAATCAATAAGCATATCTTGAGGTGAGGATTTTTTTAAAAAGCATACATGACATGGAGGCAGAAACAAATAAATAGGTAGGTGATTTAATTTTCAATAGTGCTAAATAAATGAAGACAAATAAAGTTAGAAGAGAAAGAAAGGGGTGACACCTAAGGTAGAGTGTGTGGTCAAGAAAATTCTTTCTGGGTGGCTCTTTTGGACCAGAAACCTATCTGGAGAAAGATCATTCTCAGCTGAGAAAACTTCTACTGCAAAGAACCTTTCCAGTTGAAGAACTGCTTCTATTACATAAACAATAAGCTGTGGATGTCTATGGATGTATAAATTTAAAGATAATTCTTGAATTTACAAATTGTATTCCAAGGTTACAGAAAGGGGTTGTTAGTTCTGCAATGAATTGTCAATATGGGTTCTTAAATCTTGACTTTGTTCTCATTTGCATAATTTTATTTAGCTGTGTGAACAATGTGTGGGTATCTAAATTTATTGTAACAATAAACTAATATCCTCAAGGAACATTAAAGAGAAAATTGGGTCATTATTTTTATTACTACATTATAAGCAGACTCTTAAATTTAGAAAGACCCTTGGAGATCATTAAGGACAATTTCGTAAGAGCTACACAAATCCTTCCTCTAATAGTGTCCATAGACGTCCAGATACACACTATACAATAAAGGAAAATGTATTAACTGACTGCTTCCCTTAAAGACAAATGGAATGACAACATGTCATATCAATTACATGACAACAAACTACTACACTGCAAATGTCTCTAAACACCTTTTTATTTCTTACAAAAATAAAACATGAATTCAATACATAGCAAATAAACCTTCCCAAATAAAAGCCCTTTTATGCAGCATTGTCTATCGAGTTATATTGCGGGGAGGAATTTTTAAAACATGCACAGGGAAAAATCACATTCTTAATCATGAACCCTTATTACTACAAAAATATCCACATCCTATGTGCAAGTTCAATAGTGATCTTCATATGAGTAACCTATACAAGGCTGACAATGCTTCAGATTCCAGGGAAATTCATGCAAAATAAAATACAGCCCCAAACAAGCCAGTTCATCATAGATCCCATTCTATATTCCCTAGTTATCCGTTATATATATTTTAGTCCAGGACACTCTAGCATTATTCTCTCCAACAGAGCTCAAAAAACATAGCCTTCCACCCCTATTTCAACCATCCAAAACTGTCAGCTGCATTACCTTTACTTGCGTGAACATACATTTATAGCGTGCGCTTACCTCGCCATAAAGAGATCTTTTTCCTTTGAAGAAAATTGGTTGAAATCTCTCTCCCCTAAAAATCTGTTTAGAGTTGGAGATAAGTCTTCAGGTGTGTCATCATTTTCTGCATGAATCATGCACTGACCAAGTTCAAGCATGGGTAATTTGCAGCATTCTGCTATTTTGCTTGACAGACTATCTTGTTGAGAACATATGTAGGACATAATTTTTTCCTGTAGGGGGAAAAATAAAATACAAATTTTTAAGGCTCATTCGTAATGTAAGGACTTAGGACCAGTTTTAGGAAGGAAAGAAGGAAAAGAAGAAAGGAGGAAAAGAGAAAAGGGAAGAGTGAGACAGGAAGGAGAGAAGACATTCCACCTTGTCACCTATCGTGAGGCTTTCTCTAGTTTGCCTTTCTTCCTCTCTCCCTACCCCTGTGTGGTTAATTTCTTTGGATAGATGTAGGCTAAAACCTACTCATTTTTTAATATGAAGCTCTTAAAAACAAGAGAGAAATGTACTCCTCAAAAAATTACATGCACATTTATGTATATCTTTCTATTACTATTGAAATTTGCTACTAGACATTTGCTGTTGATGTCCTAACATGGAGAGCGAGTGGCTCCATCTTTAAACAATCTGCAGTGACTCACTATGACCTCCAGAGGGCAGTCCATAGATAATAAAATGACAGTGCACGTAAGTGGCCAGAAAGAATTTAAACAGTCCCCTGACAGGACTGAACTTTTGTGCGTTCTCACCAAGGACACTTAAAACTCACTATTCATTCATTAAAATCATACTTAAATACTATGTGGAAATTAGTTTGCACTTTAAAAGAAAATGTGGTTATGAGCTCTAAAAATTGAAAAACTAATTTTAAATGATTATACAAATTAATAAAATTATCAATTACAACTGAAAAAACTGACCTAGAAAAAAGAAAAAAATAATGTTTATCACAGCCCCTAATATGCATGTAAATACTTCTAAAAGGACAAATAAATGAAATAAGAAAATCTGTCTGTGTGCCAGCCTCCTCTCAGCTCATCTTCTCCAACTGCTGCACCAGGATCTCTCTCCCTGGGCTCCGAGACCGTCGCCCTCCGTCCTCCCTGCAGCCTCGGCTTCTCGCGTACTTCTAAGACTGTCTCAGCTAAATGCCACTGAAATGAACACTTTATCTCACTTTCAAGCTTCTGGAAGCCTTGTTTAAGCCTCCTTGGAGTCGAAGGTGTATTATACAGACCAGAGAGGTAGTAATTTGGGAAGAGACAGGCCTCTCGTACATCTAGAAGCAGAGGGCTGGTCAAAATAGACCAACGCCGCACTGCTTAAGTCGTGCTTCTGTCGTTTGGATGGTTGGGTTTGGTTTTTAATTCTCCTGTAACCCTTTATTTGCACCTCTCCTTGAGAGGGCTAGCTTTACCTTATAGAATAGTTTCGTGTGTTATTTTTGTTGTGTCTTGTGTTGCTTTGTTGTACTCATAGGCTAACAATATGAATATATAATAAAGTGCCTCTCAGGTGCCAGGCATGGTGCTGGCAGCCTATGATGATAACGATAAGTAAAAGACAGTCCCTCACTCCAAGGATGTCACCAGGCTTATCTCTGCTATTAGCCTATAAATGCCTTGAGGTCAGCTTCTGCCTTAATAACAAATGTCCTTCACAGAGGTTACTGCATAGGAATTATCTACTATATATTTGTCCAATAAAAA